GTATTTAAAGTGTATGTTTATATTTTGTCTTGGAAATAAGATGATTCTTGAATGTATTCAATTTTTTGTCTATTCCTGCAATATTTTGAAACATAAATGTTGATATTTCTGTGCACATTCATTACCCGAGTATTTGACCTTATATAAGGATGGTTCCACACACTATATATATATTCTAAAATGCACATCGTATAATGATATATTGACAACATATAAAGACACATTGACATCAAATATTGTTCAGTTGACTACATATAAAGATGGATCCACATAATATAGTAATGAGTGCACATTGTATATGGAAAGGTTGGCCAAATATATTGCTAGTTGGACATAACAAATAGTTGTCCATATACTTGTACATGTCTATTCGTGCAACAATTAAGTCGTTACATGTACTTAAGATGGCTTACAATTGACACGGTACTCTTAAATAAAAAATGTGAGATGCGTCGTTAGTAACGTTAATAATTTACATGCTAAGATACATGTAAATAGGAGTATATGTCAAGCAAAACGATGATTCAGTTTATTCACGTTGCATTTTTAATCCGTCCAATAAAACGACGTCACTTATAATGTTTAAAAGCGTTATAAATGAAGTTTTCTTTGTCTAAAGATAATAAAATTTGTCTTAAATGATTAAGAAAAGATTGCATTTTGAGAATCTTTGAAAAAAGTAAAATGTCAAATTTGACCACTATGTTGGAAATGTCATGTCACGGCTCATATGTTTGACGTGGATGTTATTTAACACGTGAGCTCTTCTATTATAACCACGTGCAGTTTTTGTAAGGACAATATTAATTACAATTTGATAATGTGCTTACTAAATAAACAAGCAATTATCATAGTATTGCAAGCAATCCATAAATCCCCTACTGGTTAGAACCCCGTCTACATTTTGAAGGGGCATTGGCCATTCACTAATGTTTCAACTTTTTTCTATTTTAAGTAAATTTGTTGGAAAAGTTCTTTAAAAGTGATCACAGGATACAGTTTTTTATGAACAGACAGACAGACGGACTGAAGGACACTCTAAAGTTAATATTTGAAATATCCCTGTTACCAAAATATTACACTTTTAAAAGCAAAATTCTTAGAGGAGATAACTCTTGAATTAAAGATGCAATTTCATAAACATTTTCAGCTCTTTTTGACTAATCACAAATATTGTTATATTTGCCATGTTTTAAGCCTATTTGTTGCTAAGGCAACCAATATTTTTTTCAAAATAGGAAGAACAAATAAGACATGCATAATCTCAAGACTGCCATCTACCCATATGTCAAGTTTCATAAAAATATTTCCATTACTTTTTGAGTTATCACTGGATTCAGTTTATGTGTAAAATTTGCCATATTTTCAGTCTGTGTGTTGCCATAGCAACCAAAATTTTCAACAAAAAAGACGTGCATAATCTCAAGACTGCCATCTAACCATATTACAAGTTTCATAAAAATATTTCTGTTACTTTTTTCTTTCACACTGGATTAAGTTTATGTGTAAAATTTCCCATATTTTCAGTCTATTTGTTGCCATAGCAACCAGAATATTCAACACAGGAAGAAAAGAAAAAGAGGTGCATATAATCTCCAGACTGCCATCTACCCATATTTCAAGTTTCATTAAAATATTTCCAGTACTTGTTTGCGTTATCACTGGATCCAGTTTATGTGTAAAATTTGCCATATTTTCAGTCTATTTGTTGCCATAGCAACCAAAATTTTCCACATAGGAAGAAAAGAAAAAGACGTGCATAATCACCATACTGCCATCTATCCATATACATGTATCAAGTTTCATAAAAATATTTTCAGTACTTTTCAAGTTATCACGGGATAAAGTTTTGTGGACTGACAGACGGACAGACAGACAAACGGACGGAGGGAGGGTTAACCTAAAGTCCCCTCCGGTAAACCGGTAGGGGACTAATTAAATAAAGTATAGGTAATTTATCATTCAATCAATTAGCACAGAGAAAGCATTTATTCGTGTGGAGAGATGTCTTATACAAGCTAGGTCAAGACCATTTTGACCACATGGGTAAAACTTAGTACTTCTTTGGGCAATGCCAAATATCTAAGCTCTATGCCAAAAAAAATATTTCACATAGGATTGTAATACTACTTCCTATATGTATGTCTATAAAAACAGTAAAACCCAGAGCAGGGCCAATTTTGAGGACATAAAGGTGATTCTAGATGCAGAAGTCTCATCTAAGTTTATTTCAGGCTCAGGTTACCTTATGCACCAAACTATAACATTTCTATAGTTTTTACTATATGCAAATAGGAAAAATCAATGACCCCCTGGGGTGGGGCTAATTTTGACCCCAGGGCTATTATTTGAACAAACTTGGTAGATACCCATTATAAGATGTTTCATGCTAAATATCTTAGCTCTAGCTCTTTGGGTTCTTTAAAAGAAGATTTTTAAGTTTTTACTATATACATATAGGTAAAATCAATGACCCCCTGGGACGGGGCCAATTTTGACCCCATGGCTTTTATTTGAACAAACTTGGTAGACTTTCACTAGAAGATGTTTCATGCCAAATATCTTAGCTCTAGCTCTTTGTGTATTTTAGAAGAAAATATTTAAAGTTTTTTCTTTTGGTTGCCATGGCAACCAGAGTTCTGCATGGAATTAAATTCTTTGAACAATTTTCAAAGGTTACCACCAAAGGAACATTCCGAAGAAAAGAAAAAGACATGCATAATCACCATACTGCCATCTATTCATATATCAAGTTTCATAAAAATATTTTCAGTACTTTACAAGTTATCACGGGATAAAGTTTTGTGGACTGACAGACAGACAGATGGACAGACAGACAAACGGGCGGAGGGAGGGTTAACCTAAAGTCCCCTCCGGTAAACCGGTAGGGGACTATTTAAATAAAGTATATGTTATTTATCATTCAATCAATTAGCACAGAGAAAGCATTTATTGGTGTGGAGAGATGTCTTTTACAATCTAGGTCAAGACCATTTTGACCACATGGGTAAAACTTAGTACTTCTTTGGGCAATGCCAAATATCTAAGCTCTATGCCAAAAAAAATATTTCACATAGGATTGTAATACTACTTCCTATATGTATGTCTATAAAAACAGTAAAACACAGATCAGGGCCAATTTTGAGGACATAAAGGTGATTCTAGATGCAGAAGTCTCATCTAAGTTTATTTCAGGCTCAGGTTACCATTTGCACCCAACTATAACATTTCTATAGTTTTTACTACATGCAAATAGGAAAAATCAATGACCCCCTGGGGTGGGGCCAATTTTGACCCCAGGGCTATTATTTGAACAAACTTGGTAGATACCCATTAGAAGATGTTTCATGCTAAATATCTTAGCTCTAGCTCTTTGGGTTCTTTAAAAGAAGATTTTTAAGTTTTTACTATATACATACATTGTATAGGTAAAATCAATGACCCCATGGGAAGGGGCCAATTTCGACCCCATGGCTTGTATTTAAACAAACTTGGTAGACATTCACTAGAAGATGTTTCATGCCAAATATCTTAGCTCTAGCTCTTTGTGTTTTTTAGAAGAAAATATTTAAAGTTTTTTCTTTTGGTTGCCATGGCAACCAGAGTTCTGCATGGAATTAAATTCTTTTAACAATTTTCAAAGGTGACCACCAAAGGAACATTCCTCTGAAGTTTGGAGGAAATTGACTTAGTGTTTTACGAGGAGATGTCATTTAAAGTAAAAGTTTACGGACAACAGACGCCGGACAAAAAGCAATCACAAAAGCCCACCGTCACAAAGTGACATGTGAGCTCAAAAGTGAAGAAAAACCTTACAAATGCTATACTTTATGATATATTATTGAACCATGCTGCCACTATTCATAACTCCTATTGATAATTAATAAGCTTCACATGATGTATGAATGAAGTAAGATATATTAAAGCCTGTGATTGCTGAAAAAACAAGAACTGTCAGAGGACAGTAACGCTTGACTATTCAAAAATTTGTCACAAGGGTGTTTCATTGAGTATAATAATGCTTACCTATATGAATACATAAAATTGTCCAAAAAGGTACAAACCCTTCAAGTTTCAATACATTCCCTTCAGTAGTTATGGAGATACAAGCTTACACACAAAAACTTAACCAAGAATTTATGAATTGAAAAAGGGGCATAATTATGTGAAAAAGTAAATCAGAGTTGTGGGACTTGTGCCAATCATCTTAGATAATCACAGACAACAAGTGTGTGAAGTTTCAATCCATTCCCTTCAGTAGTTATGGAGATACCAGCTTACATACAAAACTTAACCAAAAATTTCTAAGTCGAAAAAGGGGCATAATTATGTAAAAAAGAAAAATCAGAGTTATGGCACTTATGCCAATCATCTTAAATAATCACAGACAACAAGTGTGTGAAGTTTCAATCGATTCCCTTCAGTAGTTATGGAGATACCAACCTTACATGCAAAAACTTAACCAAGAATTTCTAAGTCGAAAAGGGGCATAATTATGTAAAAATGCATTTCAGAGTTATGGGACTTGTGTCAATCATCTTAGATAATCACAGAGAACAAGTGTGTGAAGTTTCAATCCATTCCCTTTAGTAGTTATGGAGATACCAGCTTACATACAAAAACTTAACCACAGGGACGCCGACGCCGACAAATGGGTGACTGCATTAGCTCAATTATTCTCGGAAAATTCGAGCTAAAAATTGTCAAAATTTCAGGACAGACACTGTTGTGACTAACTGCATCTCCGTTGGGGAACATAAAACACTTTTTACAATGCACTTTCATTGTGTCTTTTTTTTATGTATAAGGATGACAAGGAAAAAACATTATAGCCATTGCCCAAGCATAACTATTGGACATGTTTAGGAGAAAGCAATAAAGGTTAAGAATGATTGTCAAGTTATTTGCTGACACAACTTAAGCATTCACCAATTACAAAAAGTCAAAGTGAGCATTAAGAGTCTGTGAGCTTCATATATAAGAACAAAACAATACAAATATATCTATGTACACTTTACTAATAAATAAAAGATAATGTCCTAACAAAATGAGCATAAGATAAAAACAGGAAGAGATATACAAGTTAAGCCAAAACTGAGAAAGTACAAAGAAAAATTATACAAAGGTGCCAAATACAGTAATACTCGTATTTCTTGATTATATTCCAAATCTCTCATGAAGAGATTAAGTTTTCTTTCACTGTGTACTATTTTCAATTTATTAATTTTTGTAGTTATGATGAAAATTAAATATGCCACTAAAAATGTCATTTAATTGAGCACATTAAGTATGTTGTTACCTTAACTGTGCGATAATGGGTTAACTCCTATTATATCATACAAGGCGTTAATCCATTACTGCACTAAGGTGACAATGTGTATTTACAATTTATATACAACCTTATATCAGAAATATCAGAATGTAGAAATGAATAATGCATGTGAAAATGGATGCTTATATTTCACAGTCTTCCAATTACATATGGTTAAACTGTAAAATTATAACTTTCATTTGAAAAATGAAATCCAGATATAACTTGAAACTGACAAAGATAAAAGTAAATTGGTGTGATTGCCAGACCAAAATCACCAACACCTTTGTTTTTAAATATGAGCACACATACATATGAATAAAATTCAAAAAATGATAAAAATCTATCTAAAATTTATCACAGTCTTGGCTGAATTTAAGACAGCAACATTAAAAAGTGGAAAAATTTCAGAAGAGTAAAAAATTTAAATATTATTTATCCTAAAATTTATATTCTAAAATCTCTTGCTATATCTAAAAGCTTGGCACCTATAGTTTTGGTCTTCTACACATGTGTGAGATTCCCCGTATATAATTCCTACTAAAGTAACCTATACAAAACGAAACATAATGAAATATTGTAAAATAACTTCATACTTGACATAATTAAGAGGTAGATGTTAACAAATTATAGTAAAAAAGTTCAGTGTCAAATTTTTATGAAATATTAATACCTCTTTTAAAAGCCTGCTATATAAAAATAGTTTTTCTAAATCAGTTAACAAAATGTAAAAGATGAATAATAAATTTTGTGTAGCGTGTTTTTTTTTCTTCTTCCAAATTGCCGTCTTAATGCAATGGGTAGCTCCACTATAAAAGTTTATTCACTACTTGAGTTGATATGCACTTCTCATCACAAGGTCAAAATATGCATCACTGTCTATCGAAGCACTGAGCCCACTATAGTAGTTTTCAAATTCATCTTTTGTTATCTGAAAAATAAAATAATAATCTTATATATAATTGATCTGACTTAAGAAAAAGCTTTTGAAAAAGCAAAGCAAAAAAACTAAATGAAATGTTAATGGATCATTGAACAAACAACAATATTTGCTGTTGTGTTTTATTTGCCAATGCTTATTAACTTTACAAATGATGAATGGTGTGCAATGGTACATTTTTCAAGCAATGAAATGTTAAATGAACAATTTTGAATGGTTACTAGATTCATTTATTTTATTGAACTGCATCAGGTGGTAAATTATTATAAAATATGCTGGCTATTTGATTAACTGTTTCAACTATTTTACTTAAATAAAGTATTTATTATAAATAAGTACTTGATAACTAAACTTGATAAATAATTAAATGAACGAAATGGTTATAATTTATAAAATTTGATAATTAAATGGAAAGAAATGGTTATAATTCATAAAATTTGGAAAAATCATCTGTGTTAACTAAGGTACAAACTAATACAACAGTAAATCAAAACATGTAAATATTCACGTTACAGCAACTGAAAGCTATCCATGTAAATAATTTTTTTTTTAATTTTGAAAAATTTATAAGAAAGCATTTGTTTAAATTTACCAGAAAGAAACAAGATGTTTAAGCATTGTTTAAAAACGTTCATATAATACAACAACAGCTGAACATTTGATGGAAATATCTTCTTGGTTCAAGCTTTTCCTTTTAAGTTTACGTGAATAAACACTTTTTTAATGACAGTTATATTAAATAGCACCAAAATTTTATCACAAATCTTTCTCTGAAGAAAAATCCATAATGTATGCTAAAAAATGATAAAATTTCTAATTTATTAAGATATTCTTTAGAAAAAATGAAAATATGTACTTTCATCATATCAACTGCCCTAGTTACAACGACTACAAGATGATTATGAAAAGATGGATATGAATTATCATCATGTTATTCATAAAAAAGAAAATAAAAGGAAATAAATTAGTGACTGTGAGAAGTAACAACAATAACAGTGACAACAAATAATTATAAAGGTATATTATGCCCTTCTTTTGATTAAACATTTCACAATTAAAGAACTATTCTAATTGATGAAATTTTGGATTGAAATCTATACAAGTAAGCTTGAAATAAAAGCACAATGATACAGAAGGAGTACCAATAAAATCATTTTTATATGAATCATTGAATTTAATAGATCTGTCAAACTTTAGTTATTCACAGAGCAATGACTGATATATAGCATTTTATTTATCATATATATTCAAATCTATTTTTTAAGTATCACAGGTTTTGACTTTTCCTTTTAATACAAAAACTATGTTAAAGAATTTCATACTACAAAAAGTGTTTAAAATGTGGGCATAATATTTCCTCAAAGTAAAAGGATTACTCATAACAAAGAACAAGATGATGTTAATGAAATGGTTAACAATAAAAGAAAGTTATTCATTAAAAGAGTTACCCTGTGGACTATTTTGATGTAACAATTTTTTATCAGATTGACTTTTGACTAGTTTTGAGGAGTCAGTAGCAGTTTTGAAAAGCTTGTGTTACCAGCATTTAAGGACCAGACCAGACTGCAGGTTAGCAATTTCTTCCTTGACCATATACTGTTTAGTGCCTGATTGAAACTCAAATGCATTAATGTCGGACAGAGGAGCCATGTGTTAGTGGTCAAGGTACCTGACTTTTACTCCATGGATTGTGGATTTAAGCCATATTTGTGTTTCAATCATGTTTCCACTTATGGCAACAGTAATAAGCATTGTAACCTGTCAAAGTAGGTGATTCAATCACACTGGAGCCAAAATACATGTATGTATTTAGTTTTTGCAAAACAAAAGCCAATTTATGAAGCCTATTCTATAATTCTAAGTTTTCAGAGATGAGTTGGTAATCCAGTTTTGATGAATATCAAAGCCTGTATTCAACAGATAATCTATTTACATATTTGCTGCAGCCATTTATTTATCAATATAAATAAAAAACATATACCGATGCCTGCCAAACATGCTTTCTTTAAAAAAAATACTGCAATCACACTTTTTTTCACTCTGACACACTTTTTTCATACTAAATTTCAGATAATTGCCAGACAGACTATTTTTCAAATTTCAGAACATTTAATTTTTCAGCATAGGACAGCTGCTGAGAGTAATGTATGCAATATTATGACAATTAATTAAATTATTTATAATTACATGTATATATCAATACAAATACATTTAACAGTATATCTGTACTTGTATTGAAGCATGCTGTAATGTGTAACATTGTGAGACTGCCAGTGTCTAATAAACATTTACTTACAACAACAGGCCCACCATACTAATATAAATACTAGATTAATTAAACATCACTGTTCAAGCAATAGCAAATATTATACGGTGCACTCGCACACTTTTACTGAATATATTGTTCTCAAAACAAGCTTTTCCACAAAGGCAAAGACTGACAAACCTTATCAGCTTCTGAAAACAGTTTTAGTCAGAATTTGAAAAGATATGTGAGAAGAATAAATTAAAAGATGTTCAAAAACAATGTTAATATAGTTAACTTTGATTAATAATATTTGTCTTGGTAATTTGCAATTTGGCACCTCTATTTGTCTATAAAGGAGTAAAGTATAAAATGTAGATATTGTCTAGATCTTAATTTCTAAACAATTAAAAGATTTCTACATCTATGCAATAGAATCTGAATCAAAAAAAGTCTTTTAGTGCTTTAAATGAAGTTCATTAAACTATATAGATATACGCCTTTTACGGGCCAATCAACAGTTGAATTTCACCCAATTAATTTGGTTTAAAGTTAACATTTGGTTATTTAACAGTTGACCTCTACTTCTAAAGGATTTGAAAAATCATTTAACCAAAGAAGTGTCTATTTTTATTTCTTACCCTAAACTAGCTAAAGAATAGGTTACTATCCACTATGAGCTTTCAGTTTTATAAATCGTATTTAATCCTACAAAAGTTCAATGAGAAAATGCTACAAATAGTCAGTTTTGTTACCAAGACAAAGAAAGAAAACAGATTAGAAAGTTGGCTTTAACATATTCCAACAAACTTTGTGATTCCATTTTATAATTTCCAAGCACTTCTCATCATCAGGTCAAAATATGCATCACTGTCAATAGAAGCACTAACACCTGCATAATAGTTCTCAAATTCTTCCTTAGTTACCTGAAATAATATCTTTCATATTTATATCGTGCACACATTCACTAATAAAAACAACTTTGCTGCTTTTCATTTTTTTATCTAAGTAAGTGCAGTTTTAACAATTTCTGTTGATTTTGTCACTTGAGCATTATTTTCAAATTTGCTGAATAGATTTTGTGTTCACTGCAATAGATTGTTCAAATAAATCTATTGTAGTGAAATAGGTAAAAGTAAATGCCTTTAAAAATCGAAATGAAAATCGTTTTTGATAAAGCATAAATATACAACTCCAACTAAGTATCACTTAATCATTGTGAAAACTGCACCAACTTTATAACAACAATATGACCAAATGGCCCTATTTGCAACAACTTTTTGATTTACTAACTGAATCTATAGTTTCCAAGCTGTTCGCATCATTAGATCAAAATATGCCTCATTGTCAATAGATGCACTAACTCCAGAATAATAATTTTCAAACTCATCTTTTGTTACCTGAAATATAGCAATGTAGCATCGACATGTGATGTTATACTCAAAGAAAGAGTCCAGTATGTCAGTTTTCCACTGATATTTATATGATATAAAATTAAAGAAACAATAAAAGTTATTATAATCTGAATTTCTTTTACTGGACTCTTTATAGTGCGTTTGCAGCTTTATACCTATTAACAAGCATTTTATACAGTCAATATAAGAATGAATTGACTTAAAAATCCTTGTTTAAATAGGTGATTACAACATATAAAACATATAATAAAATGTGAAGCATTAGGTGCATAAATAAAATTAAATGCATATATTCAACATTTAATAAATGTTGAGTAGGTAAGCTTCGGGAATATTTAATTTACTGTGCAAAATAATGGGATTTTATTATGGCATAAAAAGCATCACTCACTAGCTAACAGGATATGGGATCTCATTCCAGAAGATAGCTTTTAATAGATTCCTCAAATTTCACTTTTCACTTATTTTGCTTACTATTCATTCTAATTTTTCCTCTCAACATTTAACAGAGAAATATCCAAGCTGTGTTTGATAGTGATTGTACAGTGTGCTCATTTTTGAATTTACATTAACACTTGCTCTCATCATGCAGACATCAAAACATATAAAAACAAACAAAAAACAGCACAACGATACAGACAACATGAATGGTATAAATAAAATTAAACATGTACAAATAATAATACAATATTGGTCTTATCTGATGGTAAATAAAAAACAACCCCTAAGCCGGTAATTTTAACTTTATTTAAATAAAGGGAAATGAAATTTGTCTACAAACATGTGTATAAAATTTTATGAGGGAAAAAGTGTGTAATAAGTAAATGTTTGTTTAAATGCTGTTTTTTTTTTTTTTTATCTATTAAAGAATATCTCTAAATTGGCTGCTATGACAACTTAAAGTCATCCTAAGCACTAAAATAAAACTGTGTTCTATACATGTACATACCTTACCAGTTACCATACATATTTTAATGTTAAAACATGTTTATAAAAACGTCCTCAAACAAGTTTCAGGTGTGCGTCACAGGACTGTTTTTAACTCGCGCGTAAAATAAATTTATACTAAAAAAAAATACTGACAAACAATATAAATGAATTGTTGTAAAAAATACATATACTTATAGAGACATAACAATGTATGATAGCAACTTTCCAGCTTTAGCAGTGGATGCAGCTCTTCTTAGGATTATTTAGTTATGATCATGCATCCATGTCAAACCTTACAAAAGGTTGCTGGATAGTGAAATTTACTGAATATGGAAAAAAAAATACAAGCTCAAGAATTTAGTGTTATTCTTTAAACATAAAATCCTTACTTTGTTTAATAATTTAGTGTTATTCTTTAAACATAAAATCCTTACTTTGTTTAATAATTTAGTGTAATTCTTTAAACATAAAATCCTTACTTTGTTTAATAATTTTGTGTTATTCTTTAAACATAAAATCCTTACTTTGTTTAATGTCACAAAAAACCAAAATCTCATTTGTTTTTTTACCCCTGATAATTTCCAAACAAGATAAAGATAAACACACAGACAAACATCATACAAGACATGTACTCACACATTCACAATCAACTACGCACATGTACATTAATTCATTTTCCTTAATACATTTACATTAATTTGTTTGATTGACAATATGATATCCTATAATTAAGGTCCGATCTTCATCTATCTTCTTCAACAGATAAACCTTCACTTTTTCAACAGATAAACTTTCACTTAAAATGAGCACCTTTTCTATCATGTAGCAGATCTAGTCTGACAACACTCATACAAATTATGTTAAAATTTCAACTGAATCACTTCACTCACACTACTTGATTGTTTACTTGTAGAACTAAACATGTAGTATCAAAAGAGCAAACTATTGTCAATCTTTTTGGTAATTATATTTTTATTCATTTCGGCCGGCATTTTGTGACTAATGAAAAGGGAATGTTTTAACTTAAAGAATTAAATGTAAATTACACTGAAATTTAAAAATTTAACACAGCCAATGCTTCAAAACAAAACAGTCATAGTCAGAGCAATTATAACACAAATAGGACATGTACCCTATAAAGTAAGAATACTTTTCATTCCTGTATGTGTTAATGAAGAATGTGACAGATAAAAATATATTCTATTCATACTGTACACAAACTGACCAGTTGACTGCCAGCATCATGATACACAATAAGTTATGTTTAAGGAACTAATTAAACTTACCACGCCATCTTTTTCATTTGGGGTATCAAAGGAGTCCAGAAACTCTCTCAAACATTGGTCTTCTGTCCATTCTCCATTCAGGTACTTTTTATGTTTTTTTACATTATAGACACCTTTTAGATCTTCCACAGTAATAGTGCCATCACCAGTTTTGTCTAGTTTTCTGAAAGCCTGACTGATTAATGACTTCCTAGCTGCTGACATTGGAGGCTAAAATTTAAGAAACATAAAAACCTCATTTTTGGTTTTCATAATAGATGTAGACAGTAAGTCAATTATGCTAACTCTAAGAACAAGAAAGACAGTCTTAGGGACAGATATACAGGAATAAAATATGCATGTTTATTTCTTAAATTAAAAATTTACAAGTTATTTTAGAAAATCGATTTCCCTATGATCATTTTATGCCATTTACTGTTTAAATGCAATAAAAAAAGCTTATAATTCTCTCACATCTGTCATTTAGATTAGTTCTGTATTGTGTACTTTATGATTTGGAAACACATTCAACTGCCTTTTGGAAACAAAATCATATCATAATGATATAGAAACTTTTGTACTAATAAAAACATACTCTTAGTGCTTTCAAAAATTCATCAAAATCTATAGTTCCGCTGCCATCTTTGTCCAGCATTCCAAATGCTTCCTTTATCTCGTCCTTCTCCATCATTACACCATAATCTCTAACACCTTTCATAAATTCATTCACATCTAAACTTCTGTTGCCATCATCATCCATAATTCTGAATGTCCTACAAATTATAAACAGTTATTTCAATCCTCTGTAAAAAGAACTCAATAACACTTTGGACTTAAAATATTGTAAGTCCCAGATAACACCAATATTTACCTAATGACAACAAATGAAATTCTGAACAAGATTACCGTACCTAAGAGAAAAATGAAGTTGGACAAAAACTTGACTGATTGATATTTAATTAATTTTTGAAATACATTGTATAGCAGAATGCTTCTTATAATCTTCATCTTTCACTCTAATTTTCAAAATCTTCACTATGTCAGAGAGATATAAAATAGTTTTTCAAACTTCAAATATAAATACAAAATATTGATTAATAGCAAGTTTAAATATGGTACAAATTATGAATTCAGTTATGATATGTTTATCAGTTTATGTTTAAGATGTGCCTTTTTGCTCAAGCCAGTACCTACATGTAGTATATATATAAAGCATTTATGAGTATATATACAGTAAGTGTAATGATTATGATAGATAATATAACTTACTATAGGATTTTATGAAATAATATTACTCAAAAGTTTATACATGTACATGCAAATTTATACTCTTTGTAAGTTTAATATTCAAATGGCTTCTCAACATCTAATATGTTGTAAACAATTTAGTAAGAAAATGTGTCGAGACCCAAAGAATATTAGTCTCATCTGTATTGATCAAAGTACTTAATCACACATTTTCACACATAGTTCATGTATATATCTGTATATTGTGAGTGTAGGACAAAAGCCCTCCCGGACAAAAGCCCTCCCGTCAAAAAGCGACAAGGCGGACAAAAGCCCACCCGTGAAAATGACAAGGCGGATAAAGCCCTCCCGTGAAAATGACAGGTCGGACAAAAGCCCTCCTGTAAAATGACTTGGCGGACAAAAGTCCTCCCGTGAAAAAAATAGGGCTTTTGACCGCCTTGTCATTTTTTGACGGAAGGGCTTTTGTCCGTTTCCCGTATATTGTATTATACTTCCTCTAGATTATGTCCCAGCGCAATTAGAGAACAGATGAATCATTGAATGACAAATACATAAAATTATGTGAAGTATTACTAAAGAAATATCTAACATACTATTCATTTGTTATTTATTATAAGTAGCCGCTTATTTATTAAATATTAACGAACGAAATAACTACACTGCATCTTACTACAGCACACACATATATAAGTAACAGTATGGACATGCTCCATTTTCAATTATCATTCCAATTACACGTCAGAAATTTAAACAATATTTACGTACCTTCCAAGACCTTTGATTCCATTAGCACCTCTTTGAAGACACATCAGTCTCAGTCTTTCTACAGGATCTTTAGCGGTTTTTAGCTTCTCTGTACATTTCTGTTTCAATTCACGACTCTGTCTTTGCGTGGCGGCCATTGTTGTTTACAGTGGAAACAGCAGATGAAAAACAATATGCAGACACCGATTCTTCTGTACAATTGCGAATCAACAGCCTTTTTCGTTTACTTAAACAGTAAAAATGTCAGCAAGATCCAACGCGCTATCCTTGTATAGTTTATTTATACAATTATTGATTTTCAAGATTAAACTTGTTTGTCGCGCACCTGTCACATATTAACTCGTGGGAGCCTCGAATTGAGTGAATGCTCATGTGTTGTCAATGACAACGAGGGAGAAATTATTATATCATAACTATAAAAAAAGTTTTTCACAATTTAAAGGAGACAGAGCGCAAATGAATGATTGATGTTGAATAGGAAAATTTAGATTAAATATAGCACAATGACAAGCTAATCTTTGTAAAATACATTCGACAATTAACTTAAATATAGTTGAGCTTTACTAAGTATTAGGCGTGACGACACTAAATAGCATCGAATGATTGGAGATCCAATGTTCCAGGACACTAAATACAGCTTAACAAATCTTCAATATAAGTGTCATAGCTGGACCCATGAAAAATTACATTTCCTCTAGATATTTCCTATACATATTGTGCAGAGACACTTTTCAAGCAGCATTCTTTTTCCACATTGCTTAAAGCTCCCATTATCATTTTCAAGAACTAAGCACAGATTCTTGGGGGTCAGACCCTGCTATCACCAGGCTTGAACCTTGAACCCTGTAAACGGTCATTAGAAATCTTTTAACGATTTTTTCACAGTTGGGACATCATTCTTAATCATTAATGTTTTTTAAGAACAAATTAAAATCCCATGTACCGTCAAGTCTAAAAAATGATGCTTTTTTGAGACTTGACGGTACATGGAATTTTTTAAAATCTTATGGAAATTATTTTAAAATAAATTTAAGGATTAAGATAGATGCCCCATTTGTGTTAAAAGAAAGATTTTTATTGATTGTTTACATAGGCTATTCAAGCCGGGGGATATGCTCTGACCCCCCAAGTGTCTGTGGAACTTGAGGTAGTGAGTTAATATATCTCTTTCATTATAGTACAGAAGTTACAGAATACATCAGAGGAGCTTTGGTCTCATATAGACTATTTGAAATGACGTATATATGATCATGACCCCTGATGTGATGAAATTCGCATTTCATTTGGCTTTAAAAGCCTGGCTAACATTCTGCTTGAGTTTGGATGATGTAAATGCCCCAAACTGATACTGAACAGTATTTGGTCTATGTCATTGTTTGTACATAGATTAGTATAGTAAGAATTAAAATGTAACAGGACAGCAATTTCAAATGGTTCAGACTGTAATTTATTGACCTTTAAATAAAAACTGAGGAAGTTCTTTCAGAGAACATGGATTCAACATTCACCTAAAGCTAAAACTCTTTTTTTTCTTAATTTATGTTCTAACTGCAAAATGTACATTTCTACAAAGTGGTTAAAAAAGAGCATTCAGAATATTTCAGCATTTTCAAGTACAAATCATTTTTTTTTCATGAACACATTTTCAGTCTATCTTAGACTATAAATATAGCTAAATCTGGCTACATAGGAATGTTATCCATAGTATTCATGATTAAATTGGGTCCATTTGTCTTTGTACAGCATTTGGCAAATATGAAATAAATGCATGATTAAACCAGTTTTTTTGTGTGTCAAACTGTCAAAATAACAGTAAATGGTGTGACATGCAACTCAGCAGTCCCCTTGCGGGGGCCCCTTATGGCACTTGTGTTTGATGTTTTAGGATTACTGTAATCAAAAGATTACCAATGCATAATCTTTGTGACACACATTTATAGACAAAATATTAGACCACAGCTGTTTTCTCTCAGCCAATCAGAGTAGTTTAAAAGTGTTTGATATATCCCACACATCACAGTAAAGTGTTTTGATATAACTATCATATTTGTATTCAACTGAAAGAAAAAACCCGTTATGTGCACGCTGTATGCGAGGAAAATTTATATGTATATAGTAAAGTTCATAGTGTAATTCCCTTCTTAAAAATTAACAGATAGCAATAGTCCTTTGACCAATTTATTTCGTCAGTAGAATAGTTACTGTAAAAAACAAGCAATAATGAAATGAAGTGCGTTTACCAATCTATTTAAATCTATATATGTATCTACATTTTACGACCGCTTTTGTGCTAATATTTTTAGGCACTGTGCCTTGTGCATTATGCCCAGCTCACTCTTAATAGCAGACACTGTAGATGTACATTCATTTTCGGTTTGGGACCAGGGGATTCCACTGGTGGGCAGGGGGTGGGGTTTCCGAACGGTGACTGGACTGCGTTTGCAACGCTAAGGCAATGCTATGCTTTAAGGCTTCAGAGGGACGTTTGAAATATTTTTTTCAGTTCATGAATGAGGTAAAAAAGACAATGCAGGATGTATATAAAGCATACAACAAAAACACGAATCTATATGTCAAGTAAAATATTTTCAACTTCAGCCGGACAAACAATCAATATCCTGAACCCTAGGGTTGTTTAAGCATTAAGGAAAACGTTAAATGAAAGTTACCTGCCCGTTTCTCCAAGAGCCAACTCTTGAGAAGCAGCCATCGCCCATGATTTCTGTCTAAGAGTATATTTCGTTAAGCAGCTTTGCTTCTTGACTTCATATTCAAGCGCTGTGTACAGTTTAATGTCATTTAATCATTTAAATGAAGAATCAACAGGAATAACAACAAAATCTCTCAACTTGCAAAATTGTAATAATATCACATTCAGAAATGTTAAATTCTTCCCAAATTTCTTCTTACTGCACCATTGTGATGGAATGTGAAATCTATCATTCATAAGATTGTGTATACAGTAACTTATGAAAGAACATGAATTATGCCAATTTCTCGTGCTTTTTTTGCCTACAATAAGGCCAAATAGATTGAGTAAGAAATATTTGGATGTCCCTATGTAATTGTCGGAGAAAAAAATCGTTTACGCATATTAAATCTTCACCTTAAACAGAGAAAACTTCCTGTGGTCTAAGTCAGATAGATCGCTTCGCTCGTTGATAAATCTCACATCCAACTGGTACTCATGATCTATCCTATACTTTCATATATTCACATGACTTTTATACTAAGTCATAAATTATCTCATTAATCTTTAATACTGTTTGAGTTATCACATTTTTTACCAGCAAATTTTGACTATTTCTGTTACCATAACAAACAAGTTTTTTCCTGATTAAATGGCAATTAGTAATGCGCATCTTACCCCAATTCACTTTATAAAGTATTGTCATAAAGAATTTTTATTAGAGTTTGACATAGTGAAACTCATGCCCTGCCACCTAGGCAGGGTAATGTTCCCCAAGGGCCATAATTCGGACAATCTTGATCAGGCCCTCTATCTTACCTCTAGCCCTTTCAGAGGTGAAGACAACAATAAACATCCCTTAAGGAAAAACCATGGCATATCAGGACCGGAGAACAAAAATTTAATAATTTTGGTAAAGGTTCACTTGACAATGAATCATGTCAAATGTTGAAGCTCTAACCATTTGAGTTTCAGAGAAGAAATTTTTTTATGTTGTTACTTTATAAAGTCCTTTACATTAAGGACAACCCATGACACCCAATATTGATCATAGAAATATAATTTGAGCAACTTTGACAGAGAACCTCTCAAAAATGCTATTTATCAAAACTCTGTTTATTATACTTTCAATCAAAAAGATTTTTTAAATTTGCTTTTAAAAACTCATTTTTCTTACTTTGTTTTGCCCTGCGAACAATTATGCAACTGACCAGTACCATTTGAACAACAATGATAGGGGACCAACCACCCAAGGATCATTTTTGCAAAGACTGGTTACTATCCAATAATCGGTTTCAGAGATTTTGTTGAAAGATATCACGACGGGCAAAAACACAGGAAGATGGTTGACAGACAGAGGTAGATCACAAAATTTCACCATGAGCATATGGGGCTCAAATTACCTAAAATAAGTATACTTTTTTGTACAGTTTCAGCCTGAAGGTTATATAAGGTCTGGATTCTGTCTAAAATACTGAGCTTTATAACAATTCTTTATAACTTTTGACACAAATTTAATAAAACTTCAATCTTGAAGTTTCTCAGTAACAAAATGTAAAAATCAGTCACATTTCATAGAAATGAAATAATAAACATTAAAATATACATGTATATCCTTATAAGAAATACAGTGCACAAATCCTCAGGGAACTTTGAATCACACATTGATATGTCATAATATACATGTACATGGATCAATCATTATCAAACAGATGATCTTCCTTTTCCAATAGAAAAATAGAACCCTGATTTTTTCCTGGAAAGTAGGAAAGCTTTTTCATGTAACATTGTATTACATACAAATATCATGATAGACAACGAATCTGAAAATATAATAATCACATTACACTCATTGGAGTTCCTTTCTATTATCTTCTCCTTGAAATGACTAATGTTTTCAAGATATAACCATAGAAAACAAGGGCTGTTTGTAAGCCCTCAATTGACTATTCTCAGTGCATGACAGTAAGAAAAGGGACATAACTCTGTAGAAAAAGTTACTCAGAGTTATGGACCTGTGTCTTTCAAGTTTGATAACAGCAGAAAACAGGTGTGTGAAGTTTCAATCCATTCCCTTATTGTTTAAGAGATACCAACATGCATGCAAAAAGTTAACTGGGGCGAGTACAATACATGTAGCTCTCCCTATTTTTCAAATATTCAAGCTTAAGGCCATCACAAAACTATTTAGATGTTTCTGTCCATTGTAAATGTTTCAAATATCTGCCATTATCAGCTTGTGATAAGTATGACAAACCCTGAAAATGAAATCAAAATGTAAAGCTGTTTTACAAATTCACTTTTTCTGTTTTGTTTTTCCTTTTTGTTTTCATCAGAATTTATGATATTTCTGTTCAGTCACATTTAGTTCTGTCATACACTTTATCATGTCCTGTTCAAATGACCTGGTTCCACATATAAGCACAAGAAAATTGTCCTGCTCATCTGGTATCACAGTATGTACAGTATGACATGTTATTCTACTTTGGATCACTTTATCACCATACTTATAGGCAACCTTGCTTTCAAATTCAGGTTCCTGAAGAGGAAAAACATTATGTGAATATTTTTATATATATTTTAATTGCTTGCATGTTAAAACAATACCTGTCCATAGCACTTTTCTCAGTGCTGGATAGTAACATTAATAAACAGAAGAAAACAGGGCCATATTTCTGCAAACATACTTGACACAAGTGAACAAGTCTTTAAGGTGAGTACTAGTATTTTTAACAATTTTTAAGAAAAACATTAAATTTTGATAGTCAACAAGTAGTCCAAGTATGAAGTGAATACCATTGATATCATTTCAGATAAAAAATTTATCCAGGATAAAAAAAAATCAGAGCAGAGGCACAACTTTGCAAAAATTAATTTTAGGATTCTCGGCCCTTTTGATATGTGGTCACATTTTGATAATTACAGTGTATACAAAGTTTGAAGTGTATAGCTTCAACAGTTTCTGAGAAAAATGGACATTCACAAAAAGGTTAACAAAAGTCTATGCTAAAGCATACACAGACAAGGGGGTCAAGAAATAGTTTCAAAAAGTGGAGCTAAAAACAATGAATGTTTAAAGATGACAAGAGCTGTCTTAACTTGACTATTCTCAGTGACTGACAGTAAGAAAAGAGGTATAACTCTATAAAAAAGATAACTCAGAGTTATGGAACCTGTGTTCACCATGCAAAATTATCACAGAGAACAAGTTTGTGAAGTTTCAACCCATTCCTTTTTGTAGTTTTGGAGATATCAACTTGCACAGCCACACAAAAACTCAACCCAAGTTTGATGGCGATAATGACACAAACACCATCACTTGGGTAAGTTAAATAGCTCTACTTATTCTTCGATTGGTTGGGCTAAAATGTACTGATTCTCAGCCAACAGTTAAAACTCTGGTCAAGCTGTTTAATTTTAAAATGCTGGCATAAGAATTAAGTCATCACTTATAGCATTTAACCTATTTTCAATTAATTTGTGCCTGAATTGAAATCCTTTATAAGACGGCCACGATGGCCTAGATCATTCATTTGAGATCTATTGCTAGGAAAGGTTATCATTCTTCAATGCATAAGTAGGTAACTGGGAAACATTGGGGCAGGTCGTTTATGACTATATGGTCATGATTCAGAAAACTTCAGTTGATGCCTAAATACTTTATGAAGATAATTTTCCATTATATTTAGGTTCTGTAACAAATGTGACCTCTAAGACTATGATTGTTCAACTTCAGAAAATTTATTTAGATATGGTATTTACCACCTTAGTTACTAGATTACTGACCTGACTGAGGAAATATGTACATGTGAAGTTCCAGTATCTGGACCAGTCATCTATCTCAGTCTTCAGGAGAATATCTTGATATGTTTTACAGCCATATAATAATGTTACCATGGTTTCATCCTCCTCATTGTTTAACACAGTCTGTATTATCTGAGCCATAGGAGCTATCCCTGTACCAACAGCTAACATATACAACCTCTTATACTGAAATAATTACAATACTTGTATGATCATATGTGAGCTTTTTATATCAAATCAACACTTTAAAGGTTTATTTTCCAGTTTTAGTAAAGATAATTGAAAACAATATGTGCTTTTATAAAATTCACAAGCAAGAACCTAACACATTTCACATAGGAAGAGTTCAATTTAGTTTATACAGAATTTGTTTTAGTCTGTAAACTATAACCTTATAAGCACTCTTTTGAATCCATTCTGGAACCAACCTGTACTGAGCAATAAGTGTATCAAGACTTTTACTAAAGGAAACAACTGCTTGCCTCTGACTGGGTTTGAATAACATAAAGGAACTACAATCTTTTTCCACAAAACACATGGGAAAGACACAGGGTGCCTCATAAATCTTTATCTTCTAGACAAGCCATCTCCCATGTTAGGATAAAAACCTCACAGACAGCATTATTGAAATCAATAGAAATCAAAGGCAGGAAACTTGGTCAGCAAATACTCAAAACCCTTTTTTTTTAAAGGAGGCTAAATTTAAAATAAGTTTCAGCAAAATTTAAAATAACACTTTCAGCATTAAATGACAACTTACACCTTTCATAATCAAGAGAACACCATAGCTGCCTTTTCGTACATTATGTAGAGCCTCACATAAAAAAATTGGAACCAAAGTTTGTGAGGGGCAAGTCAGCTACCTTAACCACTTGGCCATAAAGAACCACTTATTTGTAAATATCTCAAGATGATACTTAACAAAAAGAACATATGCTAGGACTCACCTTATTTGGTTGATATTCAAATGTTCCACAAGGTCCCCTCATTTGAACCTCTGTCCCAACAATCCATGTCTTCACATACTGTGACATACGGCCTGTTTCATATATCTGAAAATTATTTCTAGAATTTAAATAATATTCATTTTGAACTTTCTTGCATGAAAGATTATTTAACATTTTTATTTCAACCTTAGTTGCTTATAAGGAAATGTTGGGAAATAAAAATAATGTTGGGAAATTTCTGGAAAAAAAGAATATCTAAAGCAGAAATTAGAAATGTGCCCCTACATTGCACTGTTAAGTCAGTCAAAAGACAGAATGTGTGACAGAGAAAAGTAAATCTACATGTCCTACCCAAAGTTGTACCTTAATATAGAAATACTTTAATACTAATTCAAAGAAAAAACAAGACATAAGAAATTATCAGTGTTTTCATATCATTCTGTCACGGTAAGCTGTCTTAGATCATGTAGATGGTGATTTTGTACATCTGAAAAATGCATAAATGTAGGCCTAAAACATGTGTGAAAGAGAAAAACTCTCACCTTTATCAGCAATTCAAAGAAAGACTTTGCTCCAGTGTCCGAGACTGGGGTGTACTGTCTTGTTATGATTTCTCTGGATACATCTCCCCTATAATAGAACATTTAAAGTCAGCAACAACAGTTTGTCTGAAACTATTTATCTTAAACCGTTTATATTAAATTGAAGTCAGAATATTACAGGGTAGTTGATCACATGTCACTTGTTTATGGTAACTTTGTGCCACTATTGATGTCACTAAAAAGGTATTTGGCTAATGTTTTGTTATATTATGTTCCAGGCATATATTGGCCAATTCCCGTTGTATATAACTTTCAAATGTGCTTCTTATACATGTACTTTTCTCATTACTCTTGTACAAATGTTTAATGCTGTAATATTTTGGTAAAAAAATGGGGTGACATTGTGTCATAAATTATACAATTTTTTTTGAATAACTAGAAAAGTACAAGAGCAATATTGGAAAGTGACAAACTGCTGAAATCGGACATTATGTTTCCTGGGACATGATCTATATAATGTATCAAAAACATAAACTGATATATCCGGGGAAAAAAGCACAAACCTTTTTGCAACATTGGTATAGACATCAGCAGTAATCAATGTTACAATAAACAAAGTCACATGATCACCAAACCCAAAGAAAACTGCTTTACAATTTTTTAATTGAGACTGCGGTTCTACAAAGGTCCTCCTTAGCTCTTTTCACAACATTGAAAAAGTTACCACATGACCTTACAAAAGATGATCAAACTGTTAAAGCTGCATGCCTCCAGATGAACCAAAAATATTTCAAGAAAGTCAAACTTGAGAAAAATGTACTAAAATTTAAAGAAAAGTATAAATATCCAAGATGCAAGTAATAATATTCATGTTATGTGCGATTAATGACTGATTTTAAACACCTATCTGCCTGACTAATGCAGTAAGGACTATTTTTGCCTATTTTGACCTTTTTTTGATAAATTTGGTATTGTAATAGCTGTTTGCAATGTGTAATTACTTTCTGTGTTCACTTCACAACATTTTGATTTTAAATTTACTGTTTTAAAATTTTCTTGAAAATTAGGATGAATTTGGAGGCATGACGCTTTAAAGAAAAATAAAGTTGCAAGTTGTGACAAGAATTAATATTACATACAGTAAGGACAAAGAATCAAGCATTGTCAGAGGACTTAGATCTACTTTGAACATATGTGACTGTCAGAATATAAATAATACCATTAAAATGAGCAAACATGGAAAGTTAATTAGTTCAGGAAATAGAATATAAATATCAAATTTAACCCATTTTTTTCTCAGAATGAAATTTGAGCGGATGTCAGGCAAACATTCAAAGTCAAATTAGGCACAACACAGACTCCTCATTAAAACAGCAAACAAGGAACATCGCAATGCGATGCAACCAGGTTTTCAGCAAAATATTTCACAGAAGCTTCGTCATGCAGGGGCATTTGTTTTAAAGTGAACACCCGCCGCCCACCCAAAATCACAAAACCCCGATGATATGCACAAGGACTCTTGATGAGAAAGCTTCTGTGAAAGTTTGTCAAAATAGTTTGTAGGAAGAGGTGTGCAAATAAGAATTTGTTCACTTTATATTCTATATATGGAACAAAAACAATATATTTCTATATAAGGGAAAAAAATAAATGGCCATAATTAGGTCAAACATTATCAAATCTCATAACCCTGACAACATGCAGCAAGAGTTGATGACAAAGCTTCTGCGAGAGTTTTGTCAAAATCCCTAGAGAATTGTAGGAGTTGCACACAGAATTGCGCAGAGAAGAAGTGTTCACTATATATATTCTGTATAAGGAAAAAAAACAAAGGGCCATAATTAGGTAAAAAATTATCTAATCACAAAACGCCCGACAATATGTGCTATGGCACTTGATGACAAAGCTTCTGTGAAAGTTTGGTCAAAATCCGTTGAGAAATGTAGGAGAAGTTGCGCACTGTAGAAATTGTTCACTATTATATTCTGTATAAGGAAAAAATACACAAAGGGCCATAATTCGGTAAAATATTATCCAATCACAAAACCCCGACAATATGTGCCTGGCACTTGATAACAAAGCTTCTAAGAAAGTTTGGTCAAAATCCGTTGAGAAATGTAGGAGGAGTTTGCGCACAGAAGAAATTGTTCACTATAATATTCTCTATATATGAAAAAAAACAAAGGGCCATAATTAGGTCCAATATGTACCAATTGCAAAACCCTGACAATATGTGTCAGGGCACTTGATGACAAAGCTTCTGAGAAAGTTTGGTCAAAATCCGTTGAGAAATGTAGGAGGAGTTGCGCACAGAAGAAATTGTTCACTATATATTCTATATAAGGAAAAAAAAACAAAGGGCCATAATTAGGTCAAATATCATCTAATCGCAAAACCCCGACAATATGCGCCAGGGCACTTGATGACAAAGCTTCTGTGAAAGTTTGGTCAAAGTCCGTTGAGAAATGTAGGAGGAGTTGCGCACAGAAGAAATTATTCACTATATATTCTATATAAGGAAAAAAAACAAAGGGCCATAATTAGGTCAAATATTATCTAATCGCAAAACCCCGACAATATGCGCCAGGGCACTTGATGACAAAGCTTCTGTGAAAGTTTGGTCAAAATCCGTTTGAGAAATGTAGGAGGAGTTGCGCACAGAAGAAATTGTTTACGCCCGCCCGCCCGCCCGTCCGCCCGCCCGCCGACATACCTCAATCTAATAAACCAGTTTTTTCCTTCGGAAAACCTGGTTAAAAAATTAATAGAATATGTAGGGCTTCTTGATTCCTTTATAGAAAATTGTACAAATTATATTTACCTAACAACCACATGTTGTCCAGCTTGTAAACCTAGACTAGCTCCATTTGGGAGTTTAAATCTGTACCTGTAACTATCCCCAGTCTCTTTTTCCACAGATTCTATTGTAAAGTTGTTATATTCTGAAGGTTTAAGAACTGGTCCACTTTCCTACAAACAGCAATTGTAGTTATGTGTTAAGATTCAATAACTGTGTTTCACATTTTGACGTTCAACATAAAGAATGCCTATTAAAAGACCTATCTCTGTATAACAAATAACAATCATATCAAACAAGAGTTGTCATTCAAAAGGGGAATTAATTTACATAGGGAAAAAAATCAGTGAAAATTAATTCTCGACGTTACTGCCTTCCTTTAGAGACCTACAACTCTAACCATAATAGCATATGTGAAGATTCACAGAAGTTTTATCCTTAACACTTAACATTTTGGGATTACATTTTACATACACAAACAGATAAATTTAGGCATGCACGTGAGATCAATGTATAATCAAATCATGAACAAAGTTATGAACAAATCTTTAAGTTGTAAACACAAATACATGTACCAGTATTAAGATTTTTATTTAAATCAAATATTTACATTTAATTTATTTAATATTACACCTTTCATTTTTTATCATTAAATGTCTTTTTCCACAAAGGTGACATTTCAGATATTGTCCAAATGTATCTTTTATAAAGATAACAATTAAACATAATTAAGCAACTTCTTGCTTATGAACATAACAATTTGTATAAAAGATATCAAAATTAAAAATAACTGAACTTGTTATTAATGCCTTAAAATCTGTCGAAGTCCTTAGTACTGTTTTCAGGCTCAGACTTTAGTACCGGTAAGTCATTGGGCTTCTACAGATGTTAAAAGCATTCCAAAAGGCACATTAAAACCCTATATTATTTCATCATAACAAATAATTATATACCTCTTTTACTTGTAAAGTTAACTTCTTGCACAACTTTTCACCAGCTAGAAACTGCCTGCATTCTTCCTCCCAGATTTTAATCTCCTCTGCATAAATATCAAGTATACAAGGATCACACCCCTGACCACAACAATCACTATCCAGGGGGCGTTCTGGTTTACTTCTTAATAAATCCATTCTAACACTTTTCACATCCCAAAGTCCTTTGTTTATAAATTATTTCCGATTGCAAAGTGTATATAAATTAGGATTTGTATCGAGTTGGGAATTTATCTTTTCAATATCATATCGATTTGAAGCCATTATAAAATAATAAAAAAATATATTTTCACATATACATTTAAACAGTCATTCTAAGCTTCAGGAGATAAGCAAATGAAACAGGTTAACATTCTTTGAAAAGCATCAGAAAAAGAGTTGAAAAATGTTGACTCTTTTGATAAAACATCTGGTTTTTATCAAAAATAACATAAATAAACATATTGAAAATAAAGAGACAAAAGTTCTATTGCACAAGCATTAAAAAGAATATAAAAAGTATAATTTGAATAATAATAAAATTTATATATAATATATATGTGCGTGTGAGAGATTGTAAGCTTGTCAAGAATGTGATTGTTTCGGTACAGAATGGGGTTGACTGTTTTCTGCAGGCATTCCCATACTCAAACACGTCCACCAAGAAAAACCGTCCTGTATGACACGCTTGCTACCACTGCTACTTGCTCCATTTAAACTACCATTTTCTGTCTTACATAGCTGATTGTCATCTAATTTTCTTTTCTGTCCATTTTTTATATCTTCAAAAAAAAAAAAAGATGAGAAAATAAAATCAAATAATCAAATGTCACACTGAATGTCTCAAACTTCATGTTACAAATAATTACATACATGAGATTCATGATGGTCTATTAAACAAGTGAACTATTCAACTTCTTTTTATCTCCAGATGAAATGAAGGAAGACTGTTTTTTTATTGACACAAATATTTTATTCTTTATTATAGTCTCATCTATACACATATATAGATATAAAACATTTAAACATTGAAATTATATATAGCCATTCTCGAAAGAATTACAATAGACTTGTTATAGCTAATACTAAGAGGGATAACTCCACAGTCCATATTATAGAAATGTATAATATGTACTGTAGATTTACCTCCCTTATTTACGTATTCGCATTCTCAACATTTTCATCACATAAATCAATTGCAATAGGATGACATAATTGCACATTGACATTATTTAAAAGTTATTTGAGACACAAATGACATAGTTTTATCTTTAGATGACTAGTATTTAATCTGGGCCAAGAAATCATACATTTCCAAGAATCATTGTATTCTGTAGGTCTAATAATATTTCTTTCATTAATGTACATGTAGGTTCATTGTACAGTCATGTATTTTGAGTGGCACTGACAACAGGCAATTTCGAAAACTTGTATGTAAATATTCTATATTGCCTCTGTTGAAAATGTTCACAACTAGAATGTCAGTTTGGTAAAAATAATAACCATATAGCATAAACTATCAGTCTCTAGTTTTATAATTTAACTATATTTCATATTATTTGTCCTCAAATGAAACATGTTCCTATCTCCCTACATGTATGTATGATGAAGAGGCAAAAATGAGGAAAACTGACCTACCCTTACTTTTGTCTTTTGAGAATGTATTGAGCTAAAATGGCAGAAAAATACCTTACAGTGAGATGTATATCAAATTAATGTGATTAGTACAATTTAATGAATGTAATTAAAGATTGAAATATACTTGATCTATCAAAGAAGTTCACATTTGATGTCATCCTCTCATTAATTGCTGATCCAGTGTGGGGTCTGTAAACTGTTTTCAAACAACTGGGAGCATCACAATCAAAAGCTTTCTTGAACAAGTCTATAATCACACACCTGAAATAAATCATTTAAATCATTTATAGTATTCCAGCATTTAACATATGTCTCCTTCTGCAAACAATCAATTCAATACTTCTAACTTACATGTTCACAATTATGTACTGAGTGTAAAATACTACATAATATCAAACATTGTTCGAACATTATAGTACATTAATTTAAATGTATTATCTAATGTTGTCTTAAGTAAATTCAAGGGTATGAATATTATCAATAATAGACAATTATCAATACATGTACAGAATCACTATCAATAATAAGATAATGCAGAATACAAATTGTAACAACATTTGTTTGTCTATTTTACAGAAATTTGTAATGGCACAATAAAAAAATCCTACTTAATCAGTATTCTAGCTTATATTGTTCAATACTTGTTATGAAGCTAAAAAAGTAAAATAATAATATGTGTATGACATGTTGCTTGGAATGAAGTCTTTGGTGATATGTTATGAATTATATTTACAAAAATATGTACAGGCACAGATAGAAATAGTCAACAATCCTACTAAGTAAATCTAGCTTATTTTTTTCAACTTTTACATTGTCATTTGCTTGGAATGAACCTAAAAAATCCATGAGGTCAGGATACTTATAAATGAAAATGATATGTACAAAAATATGTACGAACAAAGAAAAAAATATAAAAAATCCTCTTACTGTTTTAGTAAATCTAGCTGAAATTGTTTAATAATTATTATTGAGAATACTCAATACATGTTTAAGGTGACATGATTACTGACATCATGTGCTTGCTATGAAGTGAATAACACATTATTAACAAAATTATGAACAGAGACAGCAATCCTAACTGCATAATTTTAAGGTACCTTAACATAACAACTTTTCAAGACTCAGATCATTGAACTTTTCAGTTTACATTGTTATTGTAATATCACTTGCTTTCTTCTTTTCTTTTCAAAGTGCCAATGTAATTGTTTTCTCATAAGGGATGTCATGCACACTTGTCATCAAAATGTCTATAGGTTATCTGGGGTAAGGGAAGTCTTGGCTTTGATTTTGTTCGGTTTTGCAGACTGAAGCCAAATTCACAAGCAACACTAATGATTGGAAAACACATGGCAACAGTTACTAACAGTGAAGTCAATGGATATTCCTCTTGGTGCCACAGGGCTTCCACTAAGGATTTTTTTTATGAAGTCAGGACTTCCTTTCAAGTCCTGAATTTTGGATGTCATGACGAAATTTTCTGGAAGTCAGTTGTTCTTTTGCGTATTATTTTCATGTTTCAATATATAAATTTATGTTTGATTTAAAGTATGGGATGTTACAGATTAAATCACAAGCTCAGTGTTAGAAATTAGGATTTGAATCCACTAGACTGGTCGGACTACCAGATTGAAATATTCACTAGCCCAAAATACATTTCACTAGCACAATTCATTAGTTCAAAACAGTTGTTTATATTGAGTCTGAAAATACAGTAGCCTGGTCGGACTTGTTACTTTGAAAAGTTGGTAGCCCGAGGAGAAATTTAGTAGTCAGGGGCTATAGGACTACTGCTAATTTCGAACACTGCAAGCTTCTCAAAATGTCATTCTTTTTAACTTATTAAGGTCAAGGTACCTTTACCTGATTGTTGCGTAAATATATTCAATAGAACTAAGGACATTACTCTGAAAACGACTATATTTTAGTTGTTTAAGAACAGGGGTAACCATGTAGAACTGGGAATGAAACCTTTTAGTGATTACACAGTCATTTGTTCATTGGTACAGTATGACAAAAAATAATAATTGTTGAGTATTCCAGGTGAAAATGGAAGCGGTGCATGAAATAACGAATGACACCTTTAAAAGTTAAAACGGAAAAATGAACGTTTTTTAATCCCCCATAATTTTAAAATTCTAGATGCAACTCAGCATATTGTATACTTAAATTACTTACTGATTGTTATTAAATAAGGGCTTTCCACATCAAAGATAGCACCTAATTTCATATTTGGTTTTTATTAGAGGGCCGAGTTGGTAAAGGGCCGAGTTTACCCTTCACCGGTCAAAAATAATTTATGAGATAATTTACTTTACTTTTACTTTACTTTACTGGATTTGAGGTCGCAAGACGTCATCATCTGAGAGAAATCAATTCAGAACCGATCATGGACAGAATCTTCTTCTTCTTCTTCCAATATACAGGCCACCTTCAACTAACTGAAGTTTACTGCCAGGTTAATGCGCAAGACGGAAAGAAAGAGTAAAAATAGTGAGGAGTATATACAGTGCAGGTTAAAAACGGACAAGAGTGTGGTTTAGATATAGAGTTGGGACAGATGAGTACGGAATGACTCAACTGTACCGGCTGACGTAGTGTCTGGAGGTAGGCTGTTCCAGTCTTTGATGGTACGTGGGAAGAAAGATTGTTGACTGTATTGTGTACGGCAGTAGGGTATCTTGTAGGTTAGGTTGTGTGAATTTCTTGTAGATGTGGAGTTGGAGGTATGAGTTGTGAATTGTCTAGAGCGACCTTGTTGTTGATGACTTTGTAGAGCACGATCAGTCTGGCCTCCTTTCGACGTTCTTGTAATGGGTTCCATTCAAGATCTGCAAGCATGTCTGTGACGCTGGACCTGTTGTGTACTTGTTTTTAACAAACCGTGCAGCACGTCGTTGGACCATGTCTAGACGGTGTATGTCTCCCTTCTCGTGGGGGTCCCAGACAGTGCTCGCATACTCTACTGTGGGGCGGACTAGAGCTTTGTAGGCTGTTTCTTTGGTGAAGTAGAGGCGATGTTGAGGTTTCTTCGCAGGAAGCTGGTGGTGCGGTTGGCTTTGTTACAAATGTTGTGTATATGTTGGCCCCCCAGTCCTAGGTTGTTATTCAGGGTGCATCCAAGGTATTTAGCTGATGTGACATGTTCTAAAGTATGACCATGAAGAGTGTAGTTATGGCAGATGGGGCTTCTTTTTCTTTGGAGATGGTGAGGACTTGGCATTTGTCTGGATGGATGACATTTTCCATTTCTCTTCCCAGACAGCTAGTTTGTCCCGAGGTCAGCTTGTAGGGTGGAACAGTCAGACTTTGTTTGTGATGGCAAGATAGGCCAGCGTATCATCTGCAAATAGTCCGGACGACTGCGTTGAGGACCCTCTGGATGTCATTTATGTAGAAGAGGAACAAACTCGGGCCAAGGGACTGAGCCCTGTGGACGCCGGATTTCTACAGATACTGTATCTGAGGTTACCCCTTCCAAGACTACAGATTGGGATCGGTTTTGCTTTAAGAAAGCCTGAATCCACAGGTTGGTCTTGCCTCTGATGGCCGTAGTGCTCCAGTTTGTGGGGAATAAAAGGCTGTGACAAACTTTGTCGAAGGCCTTGGCGAAGTCCATGATAAGAACAATCAGTCTGTTTTCCATTTCCATGTTCCGGGTTATGTCATCTGTGAATTCAAGAAGCTGTGTTTCACAGGATCTGCCCTTCTGAAGCCATGTTGGAGAGGATAGAGAATCTTTTGTTTTTCGGCATGGTTCATGATGTGGCTGGTGACAATGTGTTCTAGGAGCTTGCAGCAGATGCACGTTAGGGAGATAGGGCGATAGTTTTTTCTGGTTTATATCTGCTGCCCTTTCTTGTAGACTGGGGACACATTGGCTTTTCTTCCAGTCATTAGGGATGGTGCTATTTTCAAGTGACAGAGTGAAGATGGTGTTGAGTATGGAGCGATGTCAGATGCCAAATTCCTTGAGGATGCGAGACTTATGGTGTCGGGTCCCTGCAGCTTATGTGGGGGTTCAGTGCGAGAAGGAGTTTGGTTGATTCCGAGTTTGTGGTTATCGATATTTCAGGGGCTACAGGATGTGTTGATTGTGGATTGACGTAGTCCCCCTTCTTGAAGTCATCAGCAGTGATCTTGATGTTGTCTGTGAATACAGATTTGAACACAGTCGCTAGTCACATAATCAAATATTTTACATAATCGGTCTATATATGTATATAATCTTTATATACATATATAGACCGATTATGTAAAATATTTGATTATGTGACTAGCGCCTGTGGATTTGAACTGCCGATTTAGAATGTTAGCTTTGGACTTAGGATCGGAGTGGAGTTGTCCATGTTCTTTTAGTCCAGAATTATCTGTGAATATCAAATTTAAAATTGTTTCCTCTAAGCTACGTATATTAAATATATAGACACCTACCCTTTGGATATGGATCTACTTCCTAAAAGTAAAAAGTTGCTAAAACAGTAAAAGTTATTTTCTTTGATATTTTGTTGTTGTTGTTGTTGTTGTCACCCTCATAGCCAAATGTACGTATTATAATAAAAGAACAAGTGTGTTCAAATTCACACTTTATATAAGTAAATGATTTATTAAAACGGAATTAATATAATTTTTTTAGATTCATCCATATAAGATTGTTCTTTATATGTAAATATTTTAAAATTAATTGAATACGAAACCTTGCCTTGATTTATTACCGGTGCTACACCGGTTCCCGTTTTATCTGTGAATTGTGATGCCAGTATATATTCACGTTAAATATATTCATGCCTACATAGTATAGTTGTCAAAATGTTATTCAAGTCAGGGCACAGCCTTAAATTTTGTGTGTATTCTTATTTTAAACGTAACTTCTGCTGTAGTTCAATATGTCATGCTGAAAAAAATTCTAGGAGGCAATACGTCAGAAAATTTCTTCATGTCCCAACTATTGCAAATACAGATGCCAATAAATGCCAAAGCCAAAATGTAAATACAGTTTGTCTTAAAAAGTAACATGATACATGTCAATTATTGTTCATTAAAATTGTAACAAAGTAAAAAAAACTTGCAAATTGTATGCCATCAGATATTGGTATACTCTTAATAGCGAGCTCGACGAGTTGGCCCGAAGGGCCTGCTCGCAAAGCGAGCTTTATGGTAACGCGAGTACCTGCTAGATGATGGTTTTGAAAACTTTCTTCCGAAGTACCACATTGACACATCCCAACTTTTCGAATTACAAGATAACAATAAAACCGAGGTATCTTGATAAAAAACGGAAGCGTAGACTGGTGTCCTGCGCACTTACATGGGAACAATTACTTACATGGGAACAATAATAGAAAGGGGGAACCAGAATAAACAGAAGCAGTGTATAAAATACCGATTGACAATTTTAAAAAGGAAAATGTAAAATAAAATTGAACGATTATTTTACGGTAACAGAAAATCAAGCTGGCTTTGAAGCTTTGCTAAATTTTTCATATTATGAAAAAAGGCAAAGCCTCAAAGCGAGCTCAATTTTTTTTACTGTAAAATAGTATAAAATAATCAATCATTTTTATTTCACATTTTCTGTTTTAAAATTGCCATTGGGTATCTTATACACTGCTTCCGTTTATTCTGGTTCCCTGTTATGATATGGTTCCCATAAATATTTGTGCAGGACATCAGTCTACGCTTCCGTTTTCAATCAGAATATAACCTCGGATTTTATCATTATCTTGTAATTCCAAAAGTTGCAATGTATCAGTTCGGTCCATCGGACGAGAGTTTTCAAAACCATCATATCTTCCAGGTACTCGCGTTACGGTAAAGCTCGCTTTGCAACAGGCCCTTTGGGCCATCTCTTCGAGCTCGCTATTACTCTTATTAATGTTGATTATTATAAAATTAAGTACAAATATGACACAATAACTTTATGTGAACTCTTACCATTTACTTTTGGATAGACGTAATGTCAATTTAAAGCAAAACAATTCAATACTTAATAATATTAATAGTATTATCAAATTTATGATGTTGATGTTGAAATATAACACCTAACTTCCTAAGTATTGAATTGTTTTGCTTTAAATTGACATTATCGTCACCTTAGTGCAAAAACTCAATAACTGCATATAGATAAAGAAGCAGATATTGAGTTCTTGCACTAAGGTGACGTTATGTCTATCCAAGTTTTAATACATTGCCCATTTATTTCAGATGTTCCTAAATTCAGATATTATATTCCATACACATGCAGGAGTGTTCACATACCTACCACTTGGGTTACGTGCCCTTGAGAAGCTGACACATTTGATTGACGAGGAGATGCAGGATATTGGGGCACAGAAAATTGCAATGCCAACCTTGATTAAATCTTCATTATGGAAAAAAACAGGTGTTCTTATTAAATATGATAAAAAGAGGTTTTTAACCTTTAACAATCCAGAACTGAGAGTGTTAATATCTAAACCTTAGCTTGTTGGAGTTGAAAATGTTAAGGCCTTGTCACCATAAGAGCTAGGCCAGATTGCACTATATGTAGAATGACCAGGTTCTATACTATTGGTAGCTCGTTTTTTGGAATTTGTTATTGAAATCCCTTTAACTTCAAATGAACTATTCCAAATCAGTTGCTGGCAAATTTATAAAAAATAATCAAAAGGTTAAGGATTGAGAACACCCAGTATTATATATACTAAAGTGAGCTCTGGGGATGAAAAGCTTCCAAGTAAACTTCACATTGTGTCCAGCTCATCTAGGCAAGCATATTTTGAGACTCTTTGTATTTTGCCTTTTAAAATGAAATGTATATTGAGAAGATTGTTTGTGTTAGTGTTTCTTTAAAGGCACACCATAATGTTAAAATAATACCATTTTCATTATTGGTAAACTTTATCAAGTCACCTGACCTGAATTATTTGGCATTGTTATGGTAAAAAGTACTGACTATGCTATAATAAAAAGAACTTTCTCCCTACGTCCTGTTTCCCTTCATCCTGCCATTATAATGTCATATGCTGTGTCAAATTGTAAGATATTTTTACACATTTCTTTTTTAACTATATCTATAATCATATTTTTAGAAATTGTTGCATATAATTTTCTTTTGAACAGAGAGATGGGAAACAGAAGAATTGTTTAAGATTTTAGACAGACACAACAAAGAGTACTGTTTAGGTCCGGTAAGGAACCTTTTTACAATTTTAATATGCTCCCCTTAGGGTAAGCATATAGTTGCCGCTTCCTCCATTCATCCGTCTGTCCCCTTTTCATGTCCAGGCCATAACTCTGAAACAACAAGAGGTATCAACATGAAATTTTGTTGGTAGATAGATCTCAATGAGTAGATGTGCATTGTATAAAGAACTGTAACTCTGCCTTGCTTAGTTTTGGAGTTATTGCCATATGTTCATTTTAACACTTTGAACTTTGTCTGGGACATAATCAGAAACTATAAGAGATATCAACATGAATCTTTGTAGGTAGATAGACATCATAAGGTAGAATTGCAGTGCAAAAGGACCTATGCCTGCCTAATTTAAGAGTTATTGCTCTTTGTTCATTTTTACTCTTTGAACTTTGGGACATAACTCTGAAACCATAAGAGGTATCAATCAACTAGAAACTTTGTAGGAAGATAGATCTCATTAAATTGAAGTGCAGTGCAATTGAAATGTAACTCGGTTATGCCTAATTTTGGATGTTCATTTTTTAGCTCACCTTGCACAAAGTGCAGGTGAGCTTTTAGGATGGCCAACCAAATGGCGTCCGTCGTCAGTCGTCCGTCCACATTTTAAATATTCTAAGGACATCTTCTATGATACCGCAAGGCCAATGTTAATGAAACTTGGCAGGAATACTCTTTGTATGAAGCTCTATCAAGATTGTTCAAAGAATTCCATTTCATGCAGAACTCTGGTTGCCATGGCAACCGAAAGAAAAATCTTTAAATATCTTCTTTTAAACAACCCTAAGAGCTAGAGCTTAGATATTTGACATGAAACATCTTCTACTGAGTGTCTACCAAGTTTGTTCAAATAAAAGCCCTAGGGTCAAAATTGGCCCCGCCCCAGGGGGTCATTGATTTTCCCTATATGCATATAGTAAAAACTTAAAAAATCTTCTTTTAAACAACCCTAAGAGCTAGAGCTAAGATATTTGGCATGAAACATCTTCTAGTGAGTGTCTACCAAGTTTGTTCAAATAAAAGCCCTGGGGTCAAAATTGGCCCCGGCCCGGGGGGTCATTGATTTTCCCTATATGCATAAAGTAAAAAAACTTAAAAAATCTTCTTTTAAAGAACTGTAAAAGCTAGAGCTTAGATATTTGGCATGAAACATCTTCTAGTGAATGTCTACCAAGTTTGTTCAAATAAAAGCCCTGGGGTCAAAATTGGCCCCGCCCCAGGGGGTCATTGATTTTCCCTATATGCATATAGTAAAAACTTAAAAAATCTTCTTTTAAAGAACCCAAAGAGCTAGAGCTAAGATATTTAGCATGAAACATCTTCTAATGAGTGTCTACCAAGTTTGTTCAAATAAAAGCCCTGAGGTCAAAATTGGCCCTGCCCCAGGGGGTCATAGATTTTCCCTATATGCATATAGTAAAAACTTAAAAAATCTTCTTTTAAAGAACTGTAAAAGCTAGAGCTTAGATATTTGGCATGAAATATCTTCTAGTGAGTGTCTACCAAGTTTGTTCAAATAAAAGCCCTGGGGTCAAAATTGGCCCCGCCCCGGGGGGTCATTGATTTTCCCAATATGCATATAGTAAAAACTTAAAAAATCTTCTTTTAAAAACCGTAAGAGCTAGAGCTTAGATATTTGGCATGAAACATCATCTAGTGAATGTCTACCAAGTTTGTGCAAATAAAAGCCCTGGGGTCAAAATTGGCCCCGTCACAGGGGGTCATAGATTTTCCCTATATGCATATAGTAAAAACTTAAAAAATCTTCTTTTAAAGAACCCAAAGAGCTAGAGCTAAGATATTTAGCATGAAACATCTTCTAATGAGTGTCTACCAAGTTTGTTCAAATAAAAGCCCTGGGTCAAAATTGGCCCCGCCCCAGGGGGTCATTGATTTTCCCTATATGCATATAGTAAAAACTTAAAAAATCTTCTTTTAAAGAACTCAAAGAGCTAGAGCTAAGATATTTAGCATGAAACATGTTCTAATGGGTGTCTACCAAGTATGTTCAAATAAAAGCCCTGGGGTCAAAACTGGCCCCGCCCCGGGGGTCATTGATTTTCCTTATATGTGTATAGCAAAAACTTAAAAATCTTCTTTGAAAAATCCCAAATAGCTTGAGTTTAGAACTTTAGATATTATACATGAAACATTTTTAAGTAAATATCTACAAAGTTTGTTCAAATAAAAGCACGGGGGTCAAAACTGGCCCTGCCCCAGGGGTGTCATTGTTTTTAACTATATGTGTATAGTAAAAACTTAAAAAATCTTCTTTTAAAAAACCCAATGAGCTAGAACTTAGATGTTTAGCATGAAACATCTTTTTATGGGTGTCTACCAAGTCTGTTCAAATAAAAGCCCTTGGGTAAAAATTGGCCCGGGGGGGGGGGGGCTATATACAGGTGAGCGACCTCAGGGCCATCATGGCCCTCTTGTTTCACTTTGAACTTTCACCTGGACATAAGTCAATATATTCATATTCAAACATTTAAAAGTTATCTGCATGAAACTTGGAAAATTTGCTTATCACGACAAGGTACCGTTGTTAGACCAGTCATTGAATTTAGCACTGGCCCGGTGGCCCATGGCCAGTGAAAATTAGTTCGAGCCAGTGTAAATTTTAAGAAAATTTAGTTAAATATATAGTAGAATAAATTAAAAACTGGAATTCGGGCCAGTAAATTCAAAATTTTAAATTCAATGACTGTTAGATGAGGGGCATCATTCTGAAAGCAATATTTTTGGAGATTTACATATTTACACTCCTGGCTTAAAAAAGAAATATACATATACACTATGTAAGAATTTCAATTAAGTATCTCAAATATATTTTATGCAACAAAGAAAGTCCACAAATTTTTGGATAACCCCTTGTATATATATCCTTGAAAATTATGGAGATGTACAATGCATTCTTAAGGCTTTCATTTTGAAAAAGGCAAAATATTTTTTTTATGCCACCGCAGCATCTGCATCAGTACATATAGTAAAAACTTAAAATACCTTCTTGTCTGAAGGTACAAGGCTTAGAGCTTTGAAATTTGGTATATGAGAACATCTATAGGTACTCTACCAAAGATGTTCAAATTTTGCCTCTAGCATCAAAATTAGCCCTGCCCGGGGGTCATAGGTTTTCCTTTTATGTATATAGTAAAAACTTAAAAAACCATATTCTCTAAATTGACAAAGGCTAGAGGTTAGATATTTTGCATGAAACATTGTGTAGTGAACCTCTACCAAGATTGTTCAAATTATAGCCCTGGGGTCAAAATTGGCCCTGCCCAGGGGTCATTGATTTTCACTATGTACATAGTAAAAATTTTTAAAAATCTTATTGTCTGAAGGTACTAGGCTTAGAGCTTTGATATTTGGTATAGGATATCATCTATAGGTACTCTGGTGTCAAAATTGGCCCTGCCTGGGGGCGTTGATTTTCATTATGTACACATAGTAAATACAGAAACTAAACAAATGTTTTCTGAATTGGAGAAAGCTACAGCTTAGATATTTGACATGAAATGTTGTTTGGTGGACCTGTATCAAGATTGTTTGAGTTAACTTGTGTCAAAATTTTGCCTTGCCCAAGGGGACAGTGACTATACTTTCTTGTCTATTGATGTACAGCCATAAAATTTGGACTATGTGCACAGTTTAGTTGTAAAATTGAACTTTGATATCAGGTGACCTAGATTTTGATGATGTAACCTACTTTCTTGTCCTTTGATGTGCAGCTATGAAATTTGAATCATGTGCACAGATTAAGATGTAAATTGAACTTTGATATCAGCTGGCCTAGATTTTGACAAAGTGTCATATTTTGTTCTTTGATGTACAGTCATGGAATTTTGGCCATGTGAAATATTACCTTCACCACCAAATTCACTAGACTCAACTGCATTGATAGATTCCTACATAAAGTAATATTTTTTGTACAGTTAAATTATGGTAAGTTTTAATCTGCTATGATTAACATGTTCTCAGCAGTTGGATTTTTAACTCGACTATTCGAAAAGAATAAGTAGAGCTATTGTAGTCACCCGAGCGTCGGTGTCGGCATCGGCGTAACCACTTATGTTATTTTCAAAGTCCATTGACATATGGCTTTGAAGCTTTGCACACTTGTTCACCATTATAACCCCAACCTGAAGACAGGAGGAGGTAACTGTATCAAGCATTTTGACAGAATTCTGCCTCTTTTTCAACTTAGAATTTACATTTAGGTTTGCATACCACCTCAGATATTTTCATATTCTATTGAAACAAGTTGAAATTTTATACTCTTCTTTGAGCTCCAAGGCCTATAACTGTAACATGGCTTTAAAGAAAAAATTTGTCCTTTTGTAACTTAAAAAATTTTACATTATCAAGGCTGTTTAGTATCAAGCACTAAGAATAGCCAAGCGTTGCTGTCCTACCGACAGCTCTTGTTATGTAAAGGTTAAAGTTTATTAGTATGTATTTACAAATTAAAGTGGTCAGGCGCAGCAGTCTGCATGACCAATTTAATTTTGTGAATACTTACTAATGAATTTTAACCAGCTTAGTGATTCAAAATATTTTTTATAAACATTCGATTTACTAGACAGGGCCACAGTTTGCTGATTTACCAAAGTAAATGTGTTACGATTCATTTGAAATACTGCAATCCTATTGGACAAAAAATAATTTCAAACACTAATAGTTGTGTAAACAAAATTACATATGTTTATTTAACTTTCTTCTAGGTCTTTAAGGTATTTCTGCGAATATTTTGTGCTTTAATATTTATGAACTCTTTATATGATTGATTGATTGATTGATCTATTAATAGATTGGTCAATTCAAATGGTTGATTGTTTGATAGATAAGCTGTTACAGCATGTATTCTCTATATTGTTTATATATAGAAAACAAGTGAAACAAATTGAATGAGATTGAGAATATTTTTTTCATTAATTACGAGATATTTTATTGTTTGTGGAATGATTAATGTGATAAAATATAATTATATTTTTTATTCTTGTAGACACATGAAGAGGTAGTCACTTCCATGATTGCAGATTGTGATATTTCATCTAAAATGTTTCCTTTAATGTTGTATCAGGTTTGTAATTGTTGTATTTTATAGTATTTCAGTTGTTTTATTTAACCTTCTTAATGAGAGAGGCAATAATAACTGTTATTCCATTTAAAATGATATATACATGTATACCACTATAGGATGACTGATATATAGTACAAGCATGTGCAAAACTTTGCTATCTGAATAAATGACTGATATAATTATACATGTACCACTAAATAATGACTGATATATACAAGTACCACTAAATAATGACTGATATATACATGTACCACTAAATAATGACTGATATATACATGTACCACTAAATAATGACTGATATATACATGTACCACTAAATAATGACTGATATATACATGTACCACTAAATAATGACTGATAAATGAAATTTTTATTTCTACAATATCTTTAAATAGAAATAAGTGTTTTAAACATCTCTATTTGTTTGTTTGTTATATTAAATCGGTCATAAAACATATTCATTTTGATGCTAGGTAACCACCTCATAATGCTTTCTAATTGATATATGTATAAAATATGATAATCTTCATTTTACATTTATGTTAAACAGATAACAAAAAAGTTCAGAGATGAAAAGCACCCAAAGCATGGTTTACTACGTGGAAGAGAGTTTGAAATGAAAGGTATAATAAACAAGAGTTGCCAGTAGGACAGCATGCTCAACTGTTCTCAGTGTGCTTTATAGAAAATACAAGAGCATGAATTCACAAAGAGGGCATTTTCATTCAAAAAATTAATTTACTAAGTTCAATTAGGGCTATATTTAGTCCAAATTTATGCTAGAGTTATGGGTCTTTGCTATTGACCGACAGTCACACTCTTATAGACATGCAAAGTGCCATGGATTTTGAGTGAATTATGAGAAGACATGCAAAGTTCTATGAATTTCTATTGAAATATGACCTTATAGAAAGTTACAGGAAAGGGAACAAACTATGGGTGCTACATTTATCCGTTTAAACTAGTCCAGTCGGTTTTTAGCTAAAATGGTAAGCATTTTTTCTAATTGAAAAGATATTTTCGGTTTTTCGGTCCTTTCATGTCAAAAAACCTCAGTGAAGTCCCTTTAAAAAAAAATATTTTTTACTGTAATATTTGTTTAAAGAATGTTACTTATTCTGTCAAGATGCCCAATCAAAATGCTATTTCAGAGATTGAAAATCTGTTGTAAAGCCCTCTACTGTGAAAATTCAGATTTACTTTTGGATGATTGTCTATTCAATGTAGTTTTTGCTTTTATATGTTTATATTGATATAATAATGCTTGTTTTTTTTCAGATATGTACACATTTGATTCAAATGAGAAAAACGCTATGAATACGTATTATCTGGTTTGTGATGCATACTGTAGAATATTTGATAGACTTGGTGTCCAGTATATGATGGGTAACATAATTCAGTGTTTTAGGAAAAAGAATAATTTCAGCCATATATTTATAACATAACCTTGATTAGACAATAATGTAAAATTAAATGTTGATTATATATGAACTTTCGGAAGACAAACAATTTACTGAAAGGCCTGTGAATTCTTAAGAATCGAAATAGAAAAATTTGTGATAGTTTATTATTCTAGTTACCTCCCCTTATTTACTCTTCTTTATGTTATCTAGTCATGATGAGGTTTTAGATACATATATTATATTTCAGTTGAAGGAAGCACCGGAAATATTGGCGGGTCCATGTCACATGAGTTCCATATACCAGCATCTGTAGGGGAGGATTCTATATATATGTGCAATGAGTATGATTAACTATTTTGCAATGTTATTTATATAATCATTGTGTAAAAAAAGAATATTTAAGGCATATTGTTCATAATAATAGCTTGTAACCTAATCTTGGTATTTTGTATTGTTCATAATAATAGCTTGTAACCTAATCTTGGTATTTTATATTTGCTTTGAAAAAAAAATCGCATTGTAATATAAAAGTCTGATACATATACTTTCTAGAAGTATAAGACATTTATCTTTTATATATTAGCATATATGATTGCCCGTTCAGATTTTTTTTAAGGCTAAACTCTCTTTGTCCAAATTTCATTATCCATGGCATTGGGAATTATTTTTAGATAAAAAGTAATAAATAAAAAAAAAGTAAATAAAAGTGATAAAAATTTGAGATATTTTCAGGAACCACTCCTATTAACCTTTCATTTATGGTCATTAACTAATAAAGCTGTAACATTTTAACTTTATGTTTTGATGTGCCTTGAATGAGTTCTACCTATCATATACATTTTCCAGGTCAAAATGTCAAAGGGCTGATCACTGAGACCTTTTATAACAAAACATAAAACTGTCCATTTAAGTATATGTGATGCATTGATCTACTTTAAACAGATGCACCTTAACATGTACCTGTCACACACATTTTCAGGTCAAATTGTCAAGGTCACTGGGACCAGAAATAGCAGAATATAAAACTGGACATAATCAAAATGCATTGACAAAGAAAATTCATACTTTCTATGTAGCTTTCCCTCAATGAGTCCTGCCCATGAAATTCATTTTTGGTAAGGAGGTCAAGGTCACTGATATTGAGCACTTCAGATTCGGAACATATGTTCATTTTAAAATTTTGCGCTATTTCTAAAGGGCTGGTTACACTCTAACTTGTTTTTGCAAAGTTATGCACTGACCAATGCTTGGTGCGAACATAATGATCTAAAGAATATCTTTATCATTGGTATATCATCATGCTTGTTTTTAATGAAACCTTTTCCAGGAAGAAGGACATAGAATACTCTTAAACAGAAGCATTTACTTCCATAAGATATCATATGTAATCAATAATTGTTTATTCAAATTATTTGTGCCGAGGAATGGTCCACCCACTCTAGTATCACCAGTATATCATGATTACTTATTTTACAACAACCTGAAACCATTATGTATGACAGAGTTTTGCCCCTTTTGGGGACATAATAAGCTTATTAGGCCTTGCCTACTATTTTGTGACAATGGCACTTGTGTTTGCAATATATTGTTTATAATACATATAAGTATATACAGCATTATTATTTTACCATTACAGATGTGGTTTTGGAACAAATAAAGAATTGATAAGTAAGTGTAAATATATTAAATGTCATACATGTGACAAATGAAATGGGCCAAATCTCGATTTTCAGCTGGATTTTGAGGCTAAAAACTGGATTTTTTTATTGACTCGAATTTAAATGCGTGTTTGGCACATTTGGTTCAAAGAATCTATATTAGCCTCAAAATCATTAAATGATTATACTTTTTATGATTTTTTTGTTGATCAATATTACTTTATTTCACCAAAAAAATAAATAAATAGATAAATAAATAAGTGTAGTCATACAGGCTATTTCTGAAACAGACACATTTTCACATTTCATTATATCTGTCTTTTTAGTCATACAATAATTGGCTAATAATTTAAAACACAAGCTATTTGAAGAGGTGCAACAACTATTCATGAACTTAAGACTCTGACAGTTAAATCACGTAATGTAAGTAGAGGACTCAAAATAAATGCAAGAATCGTTCCGTTAATTAAATCCACATTATTGCCTTGATGATTGTGTAATTCCTAAACAAAACAAAAAAAATACCCACTAAAAATAGGTTAATTAGACATGGTTTTGCCGCATCTCAAACAGATTTTTGAATGACCTACTTTAATTTAAATGATTCTCCTTTAATCTTTATCAGTGCGGCACTAATCAAAGAAAATCAAAGGTTGAGCCGAATTCATACCTGTAAATTTACAGGGTCGTTTTGATGACGTAGCGTGTAATACCTACTGCCAAATTATAAAAGAGGTCAATTGACTGACACACGACACATGTTAAGTTAAACATGTGAGAATTACTTTGGTTGATGGAACTGTTTATTACCTCACCTTACTGTCAATTAGCGACTCAACATTTAATCCACTGTAATTTAGGATATGGACAGTTAACAATCAATGCCCGGAGGCACGGTTTACATTTTAGATACAGGTGCTGTGCTTGATTTTTTTATGTTGATTTTTTTTTAAATATCGGGAATTCAAGCTGTTATATTGGGAATCGGGATCAGTGTCGAAATATCGGGATTTTTTTTAATCCCGCCGGGATATCACATGTATGAACTGTATGATTATTTAATCGGTTCCTATTTTTCCAAATCTTTGCAAAATATATGTTTATAAAAAAATTTACTGGCTTTAGTTATCAGAGAAACATTTTAACTACTCTTCTAGCATTTGAAAACATTACTAGTACTGAAGGCCTTTTATTGTATTTATAATTATAGTAATTTGGGTAGGTGGACACTGGTATGTGACAAATATAAAATGAGTGTCATGTTTCACAGTGTACCATATAAGAGCAGATACATTTGCCTAGAAGTAATACTACTACAAACTCAGTGTTGCTAGTTTGATCCCCTGCTTCTCCAACTAAGTGTCAGCAATGCTTGTTTCTGATATGACTTTAAAAACTGAGGTCTCATGTAATGGACCTTGACAGTTTGTTTGTTAAAGAATTCAACTTGTCTTCTGTAATCAGGTATCAAACCTGAACAGTAAAATTGAATAACTGTAAATTGTTTGAGTTTAGTAATTTCTATATAAGCTGAACTAATGTAAAAAATTATTAACAATATGTTTTTCACCAATTCTAGTTTTTTGATGGCAGCACATATACATCACACACATACAGCATATAATTTTATTGATCTTTATTTACCAGGTGAGGAGACATTAGAGAAAGAAGATGTTGCTTGTTCTAAATGTGAAGCTAAAATGACAAAATTCTCAGGAATAGAGGCAAGTGCATCTTGTAAGAGTTAGTTTACCATTTTCTGTATTGTACACCTGTGATATTGTGATAAATACTAAACTACTACCCACTACTTGTGCTAATGCTTTCAAATTCACACATATTTTCAGTTGCATGAAAAGATATCCTGGACAAAATAACATAGGTCCCACTAAGTCTTGTTTTTTGTTAAAATTTATTTCAGCAAAGTTTTATTATTTTGAAATTTGATTAAACGCCTATTTCTACGTATAAAACATATTCAGTGGCGTTGTACAATATCTAAAAGACATTAACAAAAGTAAATTAAAATACACATCATTATATATTGACATAATTGATAAAAGGAATAAGAGAGATTTCGTGGAACAACATACATATACATACATACATATACAAATATCACACATATACAGACACACAAATATCTCCCTCTATCTTTCGGTCTCTAAATTTTTGTTAAATTCTTTTGAATTTAAGTGTCATTCGAACAATATATACCCAATTGTTTTTGAACTTCCAACTACTATCCAATGTCAGCACTGCGGTATACCGTACCCCGGATATTGCTCGATATAATGAGGACTTTCATCCCATTTCGCGACCTTGAACCAGGAAAGAAGGTAAGTTCAGTGACGATATTTAGTCATTTTGAATTGGTTTGATATAAAATTTATAGAAAAACAAATACTTTGATAATTTCTCTAGTTGCTGAAAACCCAAAAATGTTGAGAAATAGCTTTGAAATGTAATTAGGAGGTAAAATTCGTCTCTTTGCTCACATGATAAATGAGCTCGGATCAGTCAAATTTGATGTTTTTGTGCATATACTTCCTTAAAAGAAAAACTTGAATCGAGTGAAATGTGATAATGATGATAATGTTTATGGTGTAAATGTTCAATCAACAATAGAATCTCAGATGACAGTGCATTTTGAGAATAAATACACATGTCAGTGTACCGAGTATTGCATTGGAGTTGCCCGCCGGTGTCACGAGTATTGCTTTTTAGTGTAACGAGTATTGTTAATCAATATAGAGTAAATGCAAGTAGTAAACACAGAGTATTTACTACATTTAATTTTAAATATTCCTTATTGTGTATACTTATTTACACTATATGTGCAGAATATGCAGAGTTCGGAGGTACTTTACTGAAAACATCTGTGAATAATCCAGATTTTCATTCCTGCTCATGAAAAATCTCAGTCGAACAAACTGCAATTTTCTGTGTTTAAAAAGTTCTTGTTGCTATCGAAGGATCAACCTTTCCAGAATTTGTCAATAATTATTGCATATCTTACTTTAAATAATAAAAAAATGCATCCAAAGTGCATTAATGCTGCCTCAAGATTGTCAATATTAGACGATATTGAGCAAGTGTGCCAATATCTAATAAACCGACTTCCTACTATGCCAAAAATCCATATAAAGGTAACTTTCGATCATTTTGTACATACACTCTAGCAACGTCAGACAGTCTGCAGGTGAAATTTGTTGCGTCATTAGCAATGAGTTACCGTATGACTGCCGAGCGGGTACAGCTCAAAAACCGTGTAATGGATTTTGATTAGAGTATGATAAAGGGCAGCAGAGGCAATAAAAGGTTTATGTTCCATATAACCTTTTTACCTCATAAAAGCATGCCTTGAAGGCTTTACACCCCACCACTTTTGAGGCCTCAAATAGTTTAAAACATGCGCTATTTAGAAATTTTGTGTTTGAGAAATGTTGTTCAAAAGAGTGATCACTTTTTCAGCGTCAGCCCCCCCCCCCCATTAAAAAGGTACATCAAGGGGGTGTCACAGGGGGGATGGGCCCCCTTCTGTTTGGGTGTTTGAAGTGGGGCAGTAGCCAATCTAATCGCCGAAAAGATTTGGGACTTGTGTGTGGGGGGGGGCTAAAATGGCCTCAGGTCGATTAAAACGTACCGTGTAATCAACGCCGAAAAGCTTAGACTATATCTCAATCAATTGAGAAGTTGCTGCACCTTGAAATCAGTTTTGATGGGGAAAAACAACGCAAAATAGAGATTTTTGGCAATTTTGAGACGTCCCCCGTTGACATGGTAACCGGAAATTTAAAATTGAGCCTGCTATTCCACAGGCTATGGTCCAGCCAACATTTTTGCCCAGTTTGATCAGTATTAAAACATTTGTTTATAGTTTCATAGCAGTTTGAACTTGTAACAAATGGCTTAAATCAATTAAAACAGGCTTTTTCGCAATATGCTCATGCAGTAAAAGGTTAAGACCCTACCGGCATAAGCCCTCGGGCCAATATTTTACTAATTGTGTCGATATGTTTCTTAAAGCAAACTTGCCCTGTAAAAATCTATTATTAATGTAATCTAAATATTTTTTTTTTTCTCCTTTTTTTCAGAGATGGGTCTCCTTGATCACAGTTTCTTGAGACATGTATTTAAAGATTTTTATCATCAATTTTGATGGTTCTACCCTGCTCCCGACCCTGCTTCCGACCCTGCACACATTTTATTTCATCCATAGTGTGATTTTCAATCAAATGGGAAATTAAATATCTGTATTTGCCCGTAGGAAAAGAACAGTAATAACACTGAAAATGCATTGTTGAATCTGAATATTTGAATGAATATCATATAAACAGTACATTATTAGTAAAATGAAATGGAATCGATAAACAGTCGTGAAAATTAGACAAAAAAAATTGATTTTCCATACTAATGTGCTAATTCTGTTTTGCAATACTCTGTACACTAAAGTTGGGCTATTTTGCAATACACTGTACACTTAAAATTAATACTCGGTACACTTTCTTGTATCTTTTTTTGGCCTGTATCTTTTTGTACTTTCACACTTTTTTCCTGAAATTTGGTCAAAGCATACTTGGATTGTCAATAAAAAAAATGCTCGATTCAATTTTTTTTACACTGGTAATATAATAATTTCTAACGATTTTACAGTATCGCGGTCAGTATTTTCCAGTGATCAGCGGATCATTTAGGGGTAGTTTAATCAATTTTACAGACACCTGTAATACTTTTACGTCTTTTAGAGCTACAAAAATACCTATAGATATATAAAACCATTTGAGATAAATGAAATGGCCATTAGTTTGGAAAATATCGTCTCTGAACTTACCTTAGTGCCCCGTTCAAAGTCGCGAAATGGGATGAAAGTCCTCATAATAGCGAGCAATATCCGCTGTACGGTATACCGCAGTGGTCAGTGACTCTGACAAAAATGATTCATTTTGCAAAAGTGTTACTTGTTATGAAATAGTTTAAGAGGACATGCTAGGCAGTGCACATTTTCATGTCGATAAGTTATATAATGTTATAATTTAATACTATAACTGTAGGTTGGCCATGCGTTTCTTTTGGGAACAAAATATTCAGACATTCTCGAAGCAACATTTCAGGATGGAAATAAAAACAGGTAAGGTTTTAAGCTTGACTATTACATTTATATAATATGGAGAGCTGTTTTTTTTCACCAAGGCATTGGTATCTGTGACTCACTTTAACACAGTCACACTTTGACACAGTTGCAAGACAAGGGACATTATTCTGAATGCTTTACTTTTATAGTTATACCCCTTTTTGTGCTGCCTTGTACAGAGTAGCTGTGACATATTGAGATCATTTCTCCATGGTCTATCCGCACTACCGAATAGGGATAGGGGGCCATCTTACAGTAAACACAACAAAAGAGAACAATAGCGTTCATTCCGTAACAATAAAATATAGGTGGTTGACAGCTCTTTATTTAACAAAAGCCAATAAAAAGAGAAACAGCTCCGTATTCCATTTTGAGCATCTGTCTGTCATAAAACTTGTCTAGACTACTCAAGAACTACTGGTGCAGTTTTATCCAAACTTCAGAGTATAATTCTTTTAATTGTCTTTTTCATATCTTTCTGTTATATGTGCCCTATCAGATCTTTGTATCTGAATTCAGATTTTATGTTTTTATGCTTTTGTAACTCAGTGGAGTTCCTTTAATAAAATGTATCCATTTAATAGAGTTTTATTTTTTTCAGATCTCTACAGATGGGATGTTATGGTTTAGGTGTAAGCAGGATTTTACAAGCCAGTGTAGAAGTATTAAGTAAAGATGAAAACATAAGATGGCCATCATTGATAGCACCTTTTCAAGTTTGCATTATCCCCCAAATGGTTGGTATACATTTAATTGTTGATAATTATGATTCCTTCAAAAAAACAAAAAACAGATACAGTTAAAACTACAAAATCACTTACCTTGATAAGCATGGCATTTACTGAACACAAGTTTTAGGAATTTCTTTTGTCATTTGTTTACTGTATAAGTGTTTGATTTTGCATCGTGTCGTACCGCCCCCGTGGTCGAGGGGTTAGAGTCGATGACTTCTAATCCAGTTACCTCTCTGGCGTGGGTTCGATCTCCGGGAGATGCTTTGGTAGTTTAGCGCGGAGGAAGGTTGTCTAGTACTGGTGTAACTCTCAAGGAACGATGGTTAGGAAACTACTCGCCTATATGACTGAAATAATGTTGGATAAAGGCGTAAAATGAAACAAACAAACAAACAAAAGCATCGTGTCGTGAAAATATTTACGAATTTTGCAAATCAAAATAATTCACAAATAGTTGAGCCCACAAAAGTTCCATCAATTTTAGTAAAGTTTTCGGTAGCTGTTCATCATTTTACCATTACACTGCTGCACCTGTTACAATAACATGATTATATGTTCATTTAATATTTCATACTATGAAATAATAATGAAAAAGGTTCATTATAAATTGTCAAACTGAACATTTACATAATATTTCTAAAGAAACAGAACAGAAATTTTAAACAACTGTCATACTTTATTAAACATATTCCACTGAATTGACTTTTTCATAGATATTAAACAAAAGCTGTTAGTATGCTAATTTTCGCAAATATTTCTGCACGCAAAATGTCCGTTTCTGCACATTCGCAAATTTTTGTGACATAAAAATAGTCACTTATACAGTACTTTATAAAAGACAACAACCTGCTTTATGCCGCCAACAGCCAAGAGTTTCATTCCTAAATCATGCTAAATGACAAAAAAAACAGTGCAATAGATGCCACATTGAGTTGCCAATCTGATATATTTATATAGTTCTAGGATATCTCATTTTTTTAGCTCACCTGACCACGAAGGGGTCAAGGTGAGGTATAGTGATGGGGCTATCTTCGGCGTCCGTCATCGTGCGTCGTTTGTCGTCAACAATTAGGTTGTTAACAGTCTAGCAGTCACAGATTTGATTGGATCATTGTCAAACTTTGTCAGAATGTTTGTCTCAATGAAATACAGATGGGTCATCTCCAGTCAAAAACTAGGTCACAGAAGCTAAAAATAGCAGAAGCTAAAAATAGAAAAATCTTTATAACACTATAGTGGCTGCAGTTTTGATCCAAATATCCTGGAAATTTGTCAGAAAGGTTGTTTTGATGATTTTCAGGTCAAGTTTGAATGTGGGTTGTCTCCAGCCAAAAATTAGGTCACATTGTCCAAATTTGTCACATTTTTAACACACTAGAGGTGACATTTTTGACTCAATTGTCATCAAACTTGGCCAGGATGCTTGTCTATGACATTGCTTGGATGCGGTTGATGGGTCAGGGGAGCGATCCAGGGTCATCATGGCCCTCTTGTTTTATTTTTTGCCGAGTTTTATTTTGCATCAACACAGTATTGACAGGTATAGTGTGATATGCATGTACTTTAGAATAATTTAGAATAGCAAATTTGTCAAGATTCTTCCCCTTTTTAGCTCACCTGTCACAAAGTGACAGGGTGAGCTTTTGTGATCGCTTTTCGTCCGGCGTCCGTCCGTCCGTCCGTCATCCGTCCGTAAACTTTTGCTTTAAATGACATCTCCTCATAAACCACTGAGTCAATTTCATCCAAACTTCACAGGAATGTTCCTTTGGTGGTCACCTTTAAAAATTGTTCAAAGAATTTAATTCCAAGCAGAACTCTTGTTGCCATGGCAACCGAAAGAAAAATCTTTAAATATCTTCTTTTAAACAACCCTAAGAGCTAGAGCTTAGATATTTGGCATGAAACATCTTCTAATGAGTGTCTACCAAGTTTGTTCAAATAAAAGCCCTGGGGTCAAAATTGGCCCCGCCCCGGGGGGTCATTGATTTTCCCTATATGCATATAGTTAAAACTTAAAAAATCTTCTTTTAAAGAACTGTAAGAGCTAGAGCTAAGATATTTGGCATGGAACATCTTCTAGTGAGTGTCTACCAAGTTTGTTCAAATAAAAGCCCTGGGGTCAAAATTGGCCCCGCCCCGGGGGTCATTGATTTTCCCTATATGCATATAGTAAACACTTAAAAAATCTTCTTTTAAAGAACTGTAAGAGCTAGAGCTGAGATATTTAGCATGAAACATCTTCTAGTGAATGTCTACCAAGTTTGTTCAAATAAAAGCCCTGGGGTCAAAATTGGCCCCGCCCCAGGGGGTCATTGATTTTCCCTATATGCATAAAGTAAAAACTTAAAAAATCTTCTTTTAAAGAACCCAAAGAGCTAGAGCTTAGATATTTGGCATGAAACATCTTCTAGTGAATGTCTACCAAGTTTGTTCAAATAAAAGCCCTGGGGTCAAAATTGGCCCCGCCCTGGGGGGTAATTGATTTTCCCTATATGCATATAGTAAAAACTTAAAAAATCTTCTTTTAAAGAACCATAAGAGCTAGAGCTTAGATATTTGGCACAAAACATCTTCTAGTAAATGTCTACCAAGTTTGTTTAAATAAAAGCCCTGGGGTCAAAATTGGCTCCGCCCCAGGGGGTCATTGATTTTCCCTATATGCATATAGTAAAAACTTAAAAAATCTTCTTTTAAAGAACTGTAAGAGCTAGAGCTTAGATATTTGGCATGAAACATCTTCTAGTGAATGTCTACCAAGTTTGTTCAAATAAAAGCCCTGGGGTCCAAATTGGCCCCGCCCCAGGGGGTCATTGATTTTCCTTATATGCATATAGTAAAAACTTATAAAATCTTCTTTTAAAGAACCCAAAGAGCTAGAGCTAAGATATTTAGCATGAGACATGTTCTAATGGGTGTCTACCAAGTATGTTCAAATAAAAGCCCTGGGGTCAAAACTGGCCCCGCCCCGGGGTCATTGATTTTCCTTATATACATAGCAAAAACTTAAAAATCTTCTTTGAAAAAACCCAAATAACTAGAGTTTAGATATTAAGCATGAAACATCTTTAAGTAAATATCTACAAAGTTTGTTCAAATAAAAGCCCAGGGGTCAAAACTGGCCCTGCCCAAGGGGTGTCATTGTTTTTAACTATATGTGTATAGTAAAAACTTAAAAAATCTTCTTTTAAAAAAACCCAATGAGCTAGAACTTAGATATTTTGCATGAAACATCTTCTTATGGGTGTCTACCAAGTCTGTTCAAATAAACAAATAAAAGCCCTTGGGTGAAAATTGGGCCGGGGGGGGGGCTATATACAGGTGAGCGACCTCAGGGCCATCATGGCCCTCTTGTTTAGGTTATTTCTGATGTTTGCACTATGTTTGTTTTGTTTTCAGGGAGGTTATGGAGGTGAAAAATTTACCCAGGTAGCAGATGAATTGAGTGATGTATTGACAAAACTACCTAACCTAAAAAATGAAGTGGTAATCGATGACCGTGTCAAATTAACGGTAGGAAACCGGATGTTTGCAGCTATGAAACATGGTTATCCATATATTGTTGTTGTTGGCAAAAAGGTGGGTGAATTCTATTATCCCTTAATCTGCTAAGTTTATATATTGCACTTATTCTGCTTTGAATTTGGGATTGTCTGTTAAAATTTCATTGAGGAATTTTAATAACAAAACAGAAAAATTGAGCTGCCAACAGAATAGAGCTGGGTCAGACTGCACAGATCTGCAAGCTGGCCTGGGTTTATTCTGGTGGCAAGGGCTAAATATTTTTGATAACAGGAGAGTAATGGTCAAGTATTTATATGATGCAGTTTTATGATTTTCATTTGAAGAAGTATCATGCCTACTCAATGACTACTATCTTTAGAAACATACATAATTTTCTTCAATCTTCAAATAAAGTGTGTATGTCAAGTAGCCGAGTGATTAATGCATCAGACTACCTATCTAATGGGTTCCAACCCAGTCAGGGGCAAATTGTTGTTTCTTTGAGCAATAATATTTTACACTGCTTGCTCAGTAATGGTTGGTTCCAGGAACAGATTCAAAATGTGTGTCTATTAGCTTGTAGCTTCATGCAGAATGAAAATAAAATAAATTCTGCATAAACTAAAGTGCTAAAGTGTGTAACCTTATTAAAACAACTCCTTCGACCTCTGAAACCTCTTTGTTAAATGTGATGAAACTTGCCTGGAATGGTCCTGGCATGAATCTCTACCAAAAATTGTTTTTATGATTCTGTTGTATTGAATATCTGGATCAGAGGGGCTAACACCAGATTTTAAAAGTGAAATCTTTAAAGGGTTGTCTGTGGTGGAGTGGTAAAGGTGGTTGACTGCAGTGTTAATACTTATTTTTTTCTTCTTTTGTTTTCAGTGCCTTGTTGAACCAAAATTGTATGAAGTTATAGACACAATCACAGACAACACAGTGTTCATGACATTAGAACAAGTTATTGAAAAATTTAAACTGATACAAACTATATGAATTAAACACAATGTACCTATTATAATTGGAAATATTAAGATGATTGAGTGAAAAGAGTGACCTTCTTTTGTGATGCAAATAAATTATTCTGGAACTGTATTATAAATGGTGGAAAGTAATGGAAATTAAGATCTTTAAGGAGAGTTGTCTGAAGTGAATATGGAGAAGTGAAATCCATAGCCCATACAGATTAATAAAATCATAATATTAAGTCACAGTATATCCAGTGTACAGTATAATTGATTGTTTTAGTAATTATATGTCCAACTCACATCTATATAGAACGTTGTACCATTCTGTCCTCTGGTGACTGCTTGAGGGCCAATGGCACCCTTGTTGATTTTGGGGTCAGTCTTTGAGGTCACTGTGGCCATGAACACAAAAAGCTTGTTTGACTTATAACTATAGAAACCTTTGGCCTACAGTCATAAGAATTGTTTGGGAAGTAGATGACTACATGTATTAATTTTAACCTACATTCTTAAGATTTGTTGTCAAGATTGGTCATGACTAGAAGATGAATTTTGGGGACATAACTTTTTGGTTTTCATTATGGAAGACATACATATTTTACAAACATTTCCTGTTAGTAGATGGTTTTTATATCTAAAATATTTTAATATAAAGGAAAAAAGAACTGGTATGTTTTGTTTTGATTAATTATCCCTGCAGAAATAATAGGAAAGGTGGTTAATGAAAATAATTCTGTGCATTGTCCTGTCCATCTAGATTCATATTTAAGAATCTACTCTCTACTTATGTTATGGCCCTATATAAATATGAAATAGGCATTTTTCAAAGGAGAATTTAAGCCTATCAATACTGATGTACTGTATTTTAATATTTCTTGGCATGAATATGCATTTTAATGAGGAAATGATATACATTAAATTTCATGGAAAGTCTGTATTTTACTGATATATGGCCCTTTGTAACTTTAAAATAGCTTTTTGGAAAATCAATCCATAACCAAATATTGACCAGGTTTGTTGGTTATTTATAAAGATTAACATTTAGTGTATGATGAATATCAAATGTCAGCATAACCCAAAAGTTAATTGTTCAGTTATGTCCTTTTGTTATTTTTTGTGTTGCTGCTACAGAGTAGTTGCCTGTCTGTCCTCGGTAATATTTGCATACTTGTGTGGCTATAGGAACAATAGGTAACTGTACTTTTTCTTTGATGTCGTTCATTCTGTAAGCTCTTTTGTGGATAATTTCCTTTAGGTGGCTGTAGAGAACAATGGAGAAGCCACATGAGAATAATCTCATAAGAATGTCTGTTCGTCTGTCACAAAACTTGTCCAGACTATTCCTAAAAAACTACTAGAGTAATTTCATTCCAACTTTACAGAAATGATCAGTATCAAGTGTAGTTGTGCATATTGTCAGCATTTTCCAGTTCATTGAGTTATTGCCCTTCAATAAGTTTTATTTTTAAAGTTTGTCTGAACTAATTTCTTATACATTTTACTTACGTAATTTTGAATTAAATTTTACAGTATTGATATGTACCTCAAGTACTTGCATATAATGAATGGGTTTTTAATGGTGTTTTTCTCTGTCTTTCGTCTTTGTATCTTTCATAAAACTTGTAAGGACTACTTTTCAAAAACTACTAGTGCAATTTCATCCGAACTTTACAAAGTCCAGTTCTGCATATCATCTGCTTTTCCAGTTTAAAGATTTTAGTCAGAGTTTTGGCCCTTTAAAGATTTTTTATTAAGTTTATTAGGACTACTTCTCCTGTACTGGCTGTAGTACTTAATATGCAATTTAAATGAAATATTACAGGATATGAAATGGACCTAAGTACTAGCACATTTAGCAGGGGGGGGGGGAGGATGGGGGGGAATTGGGTTTGAATTATTGGCTGTGTTCTGGCCCTAAAATAAAAGAAGGCATTTTGGCCTGTTGATGATTTTTTAGTAATTTTATTTTCTCCACATTACAGGAAACACTCAACAAATAGATAGTCAATGTACATTTCCAACAAACTGTCAAATCTTCTTTCAATACGACTGCATTAGTGGCTTTCATTAGGCGACATGTGATGACTGATGGCTCTTCTTAACGTAAAATATCTGTCCTAGTACAGAAAAAAACGGGAAAGTTACGTCACTTTTTGTAAGACCCACAATATACTACTAATGTACTACACAATTCATCTTTTCAAAATGTATGTGTAACTATAATTATGTAATTTTACCACATTAACTCATATACTGAAGTATATAATTATATGAAGCTTCAATCTAGTGAGTTGTTTTATATAGCGAATATCAATTCTGCAAATTCCCTTGTTCATTTAATTTTCTTCTTCTTTAAAGGGATAAAATTTCTAAAATCTACATTTTCTTAAGTGTTTAACATTGTTTTAACCTAGATCTATCCCACTCACATTTACATGTATTATTGTATTTTACAGGAAAATGTGAAAATGGTCATTATGAAATACATTGAATTATAATAACAATTAAGGGATGGTGGTCACATAGACCCACATATTCTTGTTTTATTTTTTGATGGCCACCAATTCTTGGAGCATCAATAGTAAATTAAGAGTGCAGAGTAGTTTACTTTGTGGGGTGTTGGGGCAGAAGCTCCATTTGAAAAACCTATTGCATGTAATTTTCATTACAGTATAATTCATTCAGTATTAGTCTTGCACAGGTTACCAGTCTTCATTCTTGTAACTTCTGTTGGTTTTATTTAAGACAGAGGTGCTTTTTAACAATTAAAAACAATTTCGGTGAAATGTTGAATATAGGTATAACTAATTTAATAGTGATATATTTGATTAAGTATATTGGAACTTATTTGTCTCCACCTTACTAGCTGTAAAGTTGTCAAGTGACTGTTGGGATGTCAGTAAGACTTAATTCCCAGAAATAATATACATGTATATCAAAACAGGAAGAAGAATTGTTTTCATTTTATATCTTGGGCTGTTTGATTGAGCTTTCCTATATTTCTATTTTTTTACAATAGCATCTTACAAGAACAGACAAAACTACTTTTATTCAAGAATGTTTGAATGTCAATTTTATTTCTTTCCATGACAAAATACTCAATTCAATGCCAAAAATAATGAGTAAATATAAAGCTTTTCTTCTTTCTAAAATATTTTTCAATTACTTTATCAATTTATTTATTTATTATACATTGTACTTTGTCCATTGTTTTAATTATTTACAAGATCAGCCACAGTCAGTGTGCCCCTCCTTTTAGCTTCTTTAGCTTCAGTCTGTTTAGCAGCTTTGGCAAAGTTAGCCTCCCTCTCAGCCACATTCAGTGTGTCTCTCCTTTTGGCTTCTTTAGCTTTAGTCTGTTTAGCAGCTTTGGCAAAGTTAGCCTCCCTCTCAGCCACATTCAGTGTGTCTCTCCTTTTGGCTTCAGTCTGTTTAGCAGCTTTGGCAAAGTTAGCCTCCCTCTCAGCCACATTCAGTGTGTCCCTTCTTTTAGCTTCTTTAGCTTCAGTCTGTTTAGCAGCTTTGGCAAAGTTAGCCTCCATCTCAGCCACATTCAGTGTGTCTCTCCTTTTGGCTTCTTTAGCTTTAGTCTGTTTAACAGCTTTGGCAAAGTTAGCCTCCCTCTCAGCCACATTCAGTGTGTCTCTCCTTTTGGCTTCAGTCTGTTTAGCAGCTTTGGCAAAGTTAGCCTCCCTCTCAGCCACATTCAGTGTGTCTCTCCTTTTGGCTTCAGTTTGTTTAGCAGCTTTGGCAAAGTTAGCCTCCCTCTCAGCCACATTCAGTGTGTCTCTTCTTTTGGCTTCTTTAGCTTCAGTCTGTTTAGCAGCTTTGGCAAAGTTAGTCTCCCTCTCAGCCACATTCAGTGTGTCTCTTCTTTTAGCTTCTTTAGCTTCAGTCTGTTTAGCAGCTTTGGCAAAGTTAGTCTCCCTTTCAGCCACATTCAGTGTGTCTCTTCTTTTAGCTTCTTTAGCTTCAGTCTGTTTAGCATCTTTGGCAAAGTTAGCCTCCCTCTCAGCCACATTCATTGTGTCTCTCCTTTTAGCTTCAGTCTGTTTAGCAGCTTTGGCAAAGTTAGCCTCCCTCTCAGCCACATTCAGTGTGTCTCTCCTTTTAGCTTCAGTCTGTTTAGCAGCTTTGGCAAAGTTAGCCTCCCTCTCAGCCACATTCATTGTGTCTCTCCTTTTAGCTTCAGTCTGTTTAGCAGCTTTGGCAAAGTTAGCCTCCCTCTCAGCCACATTCAGTGTGTCTCTTCTTTTAGCTTCTTTAGCTTCAGTCTGTTTAGCAGCTTTGGCGAAGTTAGTCTCCCTTTCAGCCACATTCAGTGTGTCTCTTCTTTTAGCTTCTTTAGCTTCAGTCTGTTTAGCAGCTTTGGCAAAGTTAGCCTCCCTCTCAGCCACATTCAGTGTGTCTCTCCTTTTGGCTTCTTTAGCTTCAGTCTGTTTAGCAGCTTTGGCGAAGTTAGCCTCCCTCTCAGCCACATTCAGTGTGTCTCTTCTTTTGGCTTCTTTAGCTTCAGTCTGTTTAGCAGCTTTGGCAAAGTTAGCCTCCCTCTCAGCCACATTCAGTGTGTCTCTCCTTTTAGCTTCAGTCTGTTTAGCAGCTTTGGCAAAGTTAGCCTCCCTCTCAGCCACATTCAGTGTGTCTCTCCTTTTAGCTTCTTTAGCTTCAGTCTGTTTAGCAGCTTTGGCAAAGTTAGCCTCCCTCTCAGCCACATTCAGTGTGTTTTCTAACATGACCTCAGCAAAGGATAGAGGTAGGAGCATTGCTAAAAGCCAGATTGCTTTCTTCATCTGCAATTAATTCATTAATCTTTGCTTAATTAGAATAAAAATGGACATTCATTCACTTTTTAGATACTTAATTATACAAAACTGAATTTACAGAAAAGGTATAAAAAATATTGGTATTAGACTGCATAGAGAGATGTGAGAAATATTTTATAGTGTTAATCTTAAATAGAAATACATCTGTTCACTATAGTTATAAATTAATAGGTTTTCTAACTAAAAACTTCATTTAAGTTAGAGTTAGATTAAAAGTACAGGATTGAATGTTGGATTATGTTTATGGAACTGACATTAAAGGTAAGAAAAATATTGAATTTAATTAAGTGAGAAGGAAAATAAATGCATAGAGTTGTTGCTAGCCTGTAGATTTAACGACAGTCTTTGGGCTGGATTTATTCTGCAAGGTTGCAAAGTACAAGAAAAAAATGAAAACTTTAATTTACTTGCTATATGTTAACTTTTAACAAATATGAATTGGAAAAATTATTATGATAATCTTCTTTTGTTTTTATGAAAATAAACTAATACACAAAGACTAACATGTGAATCATGATCCATATCAAATATTGAAATGAGTTCAATTCAACTTTTGCCAATTGAAATTTGTAATTCACGAAAAGATCAAAAATAATCTTAGAGTTTTTAATTCAGACGAGCATAAATCCATTTCAATTAATTTAGGAAAAGATTAAAGAAATTATAAATACATAAAACAAAAATTTGTTCTATAAAATAGATAAGTAATATATCTAGCAATAGCTACTCACATTGAGGTTAATAGTTGTCTCCAGATTTTCTGCAGATTTGTTGACTTTAGTTGTGTTCAGTCCAAATAGTTTTACGCATGTTCACATCCTTTTATATCTGTAATCTTGGGCAT